TTGAAATCCATGCAAATTTTTCATAATACACTTTTTCCATAACATTTTTGAATATCTCATGCATAGATTTCAGAATTTTTACACCAACGTAAGCTCATCTTTTAATCCATTCTCATGAGTTTTGGAAGTGCCCGCACCTGTGGCCTTGCTCCGCGTATGAAGTTCTGTTTGAGGACCCCGGCCGTGTTCCTTGTCTCTGCCGCAATGTGCTGATACTTTGATAAAATACCTACAGCATATAGAGGTTCTTATTTTGCCCTCTGTCCTTGAAAGAATGGGTACAACTTTGGGGTCTGGGTTACTTTCTGGGTTAAAAGTTGGATTCTTAGGTGCTTTGTGGAAACTGTAACAATGCAAAATAGGGCAGTTTTGTTTATATAAAATTACCACTGGGCGACATGTGAGGAATATACATTCATTTTATGTAATACTTAGAAAACAAAACTATTTTTAAAAATAATTTTTAAAGGATTGAGTGATTTGAAAGAGTTGTGGAGAGAGAGATCTTACATCCTCTGGTTTGCTCTCCAGAGGGCCACCGTGGCCAGGCCGAAGCCAGGAGCGTCATCGGGTCTCCCACGTGGATGCAGGGGCCTAGACACTTGGCCCATCTTTCGCTGCTTTCCCCAGGCCATTAGCAGGGAGCTGGATCTCAGAAGTGGAGCAGCTGGGATACAAACCAGCACCTGTATGGGATGGCGGCGTTGCAGGCAGTGGTTTACCCACTGTGTGACAACACGGGTCCACTCTTTTTTTTTTAAGTTTTTTTTTTTAAGCTTTATTTATTTGCAAGGGGATAAAGAGATGGATAGACAGGGCTTCTGCCTTCCAGTCCACTCCCCCAAATGCCCGCAACAGCTGGACTGTTTGAAGCCAGGAGCCTGCAGCTAAATTCAGGTCTCCGCGTAGGTTGCAGAGACCATGCAGGTTGAGCCATCATCTGCTGCCTCCCATTAGCAGGAAACTGGAAGGGGCGGGGGCGCAGCTTTGAACCCAGGCACCTCCACGTGGGATACAGATGGCCCAAGTGGTGGCTTTACCGCTACATCAAACACCAGTCCCCAGGATTGTCTTTTAGATAGTACCCATCGCTGTGACACCTGAAAAGATTGGGGTAGGGGAGAAGAGCCTTAAAAAGAAAAACACACACACACACACACACACACACACAAGCCATGCACCTGCCTCTGGGGCCCTGGCTGTGCCGGCCTTGGCTGGATCGGAGCGGAGCGTCTGCTGTCTGCGCTCGGCTAGTTAAGGCTTGCTGGGTTACTGGTAATGTTTTACAGGGCTGGCTGTTTGTTCGCCAGTGTGGTGGAAAATGACCGCTGCGTGTGGTAGCTGGCGGTTTCCCGTCCTCTCCCGTCCTCGTGCACGGAGCCTCGGTCAAGGCGCGTCCGCGGGATGGACTGGGGGTGCGCATGCGTCGTGAGACTTCTGCTCTTCCCGGACGTCTGGCAGCACCGTGCTGGCTGGCCCTGCTGGTGGTCAGTGTGGCCAGGGCGCACCCGCACCCGCGGGACCCTGACTGTCAGAGCAAGCTCTCGGGGGCTGCCTTTGCGAGATCGGGTCTGAACTCCAGCTTGGCCAGATTTCTTGAGTGGTTAGGAAGGCGCGCCTCCCGCCCGAGCTCACGCCAGACTCCGGAACACGTGTGTGCTGCTGCCCAGGGTCCTTGAGTGGCCATGAACGGGGCTGGGAGAGGGGCACGTGCTAGTCCAGGAGTCTAACTATGAGGGGGATTGGTTAACAGCCTCTCTTTTCGTGATCAACTTGAAGGCTGGCTGGCGTGTCACCGGAGTTGATGCCAAACGGCACCCTGAGTCCAGGCTTCGGATCCGGGGCCACCTCCCGAGAGCGGGGTCCTCGCCTCCACCCTGGGGGGCGGCTGGGCAGTGGGGAGCCCTCTAGAAGCAGGGAGGGTCAGCCCCGACCCCAGCTCCGGGAGCACGGGGCTGTTTCGCAGCTTCCCAAGGGCCTGGGTTATTTTCACACGAGCTTAAACAAAAGCACTAAACTGAAGTTAAGTCTAGTTGTTGTTGTTGTTGTTGTTGTATTACTTTTTGTTCACCTTTGCTTTCCCCTGGAGGTGGGCGTGGAGGTCTAGTTTGAGTGCCGCCTTCGTAGCTGTCCCCTGTTCAGGCCCTGAAGCAGCCGGGAACAGCGGCTGCGACCCCAGCCCGAGCGTCCTCCGTCCTCCCGCTGCCGACCGCACGGACACCTCTGCGGTGCCTTGTGCGTGGCAGGTGCTCGCCCAGCGTGGCCGCCCCCGGAGCACAGGACGCAGGGGGGCAGAAGCTCAAAGATTCTGCGTGTCTGAGATGTCCACAGTAGACGAGTCCTCGGAGACAGAGAGCCGCCGAGTGGGTGCCAGGGGATGGGACCTCGGGAATAATGGGAATGACCGGGAGTGGGTGCTGGGCTTCTTTTTGGGGTGACGGAATATTCCAGAACTCGACGGCAGTGTTGCTGGCATACCTGTGAACACCCTAAGCACCCCTGAATTATGCGTTTCCAATGAGTGAAGTGTGTGGGACGTGAATTCGGTTTCAGCAGAGCCGCCGCGAGGGAGCACGCGGTGGCTCGGCGTGGGCGTGGGCGTGGGCAGCAGTCCCGTCTCTGTGACTGCCCGCGAGACCTTCTCCCCATCCCACTCCCTCTCGTGGGAGAAAGCTTGCCGTGCGTGGCCGCTTCCGCAGAGCCCGTCGAAGCACTGGCGAGGTCTTGCCCGAATAGTTGAGGACCGCGCCAGATTGCTGAAGCGGCAGCTGCGGGAGCGGGCTGGAGCGCCGGACGCCGGTGCTGACGGCCGGCGGGCCAGGCCCCGGCACACTGGGCGCTGGCGGCATCCTTCTCACCTTGATTTCTGAGCAAATGCAGGTGCGATAGATGGGCATGAATAAGCTTACCGCAGTCTGCTGCCTGAAGGGCAAACGTGCCGGTGCCACCCTTCGCATGTCCCTTGCTGTTTGCACTGGTGTTCCTGACCTTGAGCTGCAGGGACGTCTGGTTCCTCCCTTCCTGAACGTCTGGGGGGAGCTGCTCCTCTTCCTGTCCAGCTCTCTGCTGTGGCCTGGGAAAGCAGTAGAAGATGGCCAAGTCCTTGGGCCCCTGCACCCACGTGGGAGACCCAGAAGAAGCTCCTGGCTCCTGGCTTTGGATCGGCACAGCTCCAACCGTTGTTGCGGCCATCTGGGGAGTGAACCAGCAGATGGAAGACCTCTCTCTCTCTCTCTGCCTCTCTGCCTCTCTGCCTCTCCTTCTCTCTCTGTGTAAGAAAATAGAAGAATACACAGAGAGAGAGAGAGAGAGAGAGAGAGAGAGAGAGATCCATCTTCCATTTGCTAGTTCACTTCCCAGACGGCCGCAGTGGTTGGAGCTGGGCCAGACTGAAGACAGGCTCCCGGAACAAACTCCACCTCAGTGCAGGTGCACCTGGGTCACCTCCCCTCCTCTCCCCTCCCTCCTCTCCCAGGCACGGTAGCAGGGAGCCGAGTCAGAGCAGCTGCGACACCGGCGTCGTGGGTGGCGGCCTACCCCGCTGCGCCACGGCATGTCCCTCACTGGCCACTTTTCTTTTTTTAAGAAAGAAAATGGGGCCGGCGCCGCGGCTCACTAGGCTAATCCTCCGCCTAGCGGCGCCGGCACACCGGGTTCTAGTCCCGGTCGGGGCGCCGGATTCTGTCCCGGTTGCCCCTCTTCCAGGCCAGCTCTCTGCTGTGGCCCAGGAGTGCAGTGGAGGATGGCCCAGGTGCTTGGGCCCTGCACCCCATGGGAGACCAGGAAAAGCACCTGGCTCCTGGCTCCTGCCATCGGATCAGCGCGGTGCGCCGGCCGCGGCGGCCATTGGAGGGTGAACCAACGGCAAAGGAAGACCTTTCTCTCTGTCTCTCTCTCTCACTGTCCACTCTGCCTGTCAAAAAAAAAAAAAAAAAAAAAAGAAAAAAGAAAAGAAATGAAGTTCACTCCTACCTTTCGTTTCTCTTGAAAGATACAGACCAGTAGCATCGCTTGATATTCTGGTACCAGATCAGAGACTCCCCCCTGCAGCGGTGAGAACAGAGCTCACCTAAGCGAGGCCACTTCTGCCGAGTGCCCTGTGCGCGCTCCCGAGAACCCCGGGGCTCTGAGGGCCCCCCACCCCCCGATGCTTCAGTGCCGGGTTCTCCTGACGCAGGTGCTAGGTGCATTGTTCCACTGCTAACCTGACAGCACGAGCTGTAGAGCACCCGGTGAGCCGTGGGTGCTGCTTAACCCCCAGAGTGAAGTTCCCTGCATTTGTCTGTGGGAGCTGGTCGGGCCTAGCGGTCACTGTCAGCCGGGCCCCTTGGCCATGCACTGGTTAGCTAACGCTGGGTTGCCCGTTGGGGGCGGGGTGGAGCCCGATTGAGTTCCTCTGGGGTGTGTGCAGTGTGTGGGACGTCCAGGTGGGACGCTCCGCCCGGTGCACTGTGCGTCGCCTCCTGCGGTCCCCGTCCTCGTCTGGGTCTCTCCTGTTGGGGGCGGGGCCTCTGCGGCACCTGGGTATCTCAGCTGGAAGGTGGTGGGAGGCAGCTGCTAGTTCCAGGCCGTTCCGCTGCTGCACAGTCCTTAGGCCCGTCCTTCCGTTTCCGCGTGACTTCCGTCGTCCGTCTCGGCGCAGAAGATGCTGTGCGTGGACAGCGCACGGCTGGCTCGGGCGGTCTCAGTCCTCGTAGCAGTTTCCCCTTGGCCGCCGCGCCGCGTCCCGCCCTCTTGGTTGCGTGTTCCGTCACCGCATTTCTCGTGGCTACTCCGATGGTTCCAGTGTTGGCGCCGCCTCCCTCCCCTCACCGGCTGCCGTGGGTGCAGCCCGCACCCGGGCCGGCCTCACTCGGCCTAGACAGCGCGTGGGAAGTGGGTTGACGGCTGTTGGAGCACTTCCACGGGCGTGACCGGGCTCCCGTGACATTGCCGGCATGCGTGGCGTGGGCCACCGGGCACGGAGCCCAGCTGAGTGTCTGTGCTTGCTTCTGTTTCAGATCAACGTCCGCGTCACCACCATGGACGCAGAGCTGGAGTTTGCCGTCCAGCCAAATACAACCGGAAAACAGCTGTTCGATCAGGTGGGTCTCCACGAGCTCCAGGGGTTACCATTAAGGGAAACAAAACCCTGATTCTGGGAGCACCCAAATCCTTGCGTTTGCTCAGTGCTTTGCCTGGGTTTGCTCACCGGCGGTCATCCAGGATGTTTGAAAAGGCATAAAAGTGCTCAGCTCTTTCACACTGCACCAGTAAAACCCAGCAGCAGAGGTTTGTGTCTTGCCCAGCAGGTGCGTGCCAGCACCCTGCCTAGTAGTGTTTGTGGGAAGCCGGGTGAAAATCATGTGTGTCCAGCACAGAGGCAAGAGGCTGAGGAGGGGTTGGGACTGTGCAGATCGGCTAAGGTGTTGCTGGCTTCTGCATCCCAGAAGGGCTGCCTAGTGCCTGCCATCTCCTCTGCTCCTGTGTGTAGCACATCTCGATGGCTGGGGACACGAATCCTCACTTGGCTCAGGAGGTGCCGTCTCTGGTGTCTAACTGGTCCTGCCTGAACATCTGTGAAAAATACAGATTTCGAGAAAATAATTCAGTACCTTTAAAGTCAGAAGGTTATTAGTGATATTAACACTTATTACCTACTCATTTTTTTCCAGTACAGCTGCTCCAAATGCAGTCCTGTCTCCTGGTCTCCTTCCCCGTTAGGCTGTAGCTGAAAACTGAGACACTGAGACTTGGCTTCGTTTTCGCAGCTTTCTGTCCCAACTCAGCGGACTTGTCTGCAGAGGGCGGGGGGTGGGGGGGCACAGCTGGGGCCTGCAGGCCGTGAAGTCTGGCAGGGCCGTGCCCCTCGGCCACCGCCGTGGAGAAAGCAGCCAGGGACACGAGCTCGCGTGGGCAGGACCCTGGTCCCGAGGTGCTGAACGCAGTCCCGAGGTTTCCAGAAGTTTCCGGGGACTTCTTTCCTCCCCAGCGTTTAACGACGGTTTCGTTCCTAGCTTGGGGCTGGGTGGACAGAAGATGACATTGGCCCACGGGCCGTAGCTGCTACTCCTGCCTTAGCTGAGATCGGACGAGACCCGCATTACTGGCTCGCGGTGGAGACACGGCCGGGGTGGGGTGGTCAGAGGCGCTGAGGAGGTGGCCCTTGGGCCCCTTGTACCTTTCAAGAGATCGAGGGTGCTGTCGCCTCTCGATTTGATTGCTTTTTTAAAGATTTGCTTATTTGAAAGGCAGAGTTACAGAGCCAGGGACAGACAGAGCGAGGTCTTCCATCCACTGCTTCACTCCCCAAAACGCACAACAACCAGGGCCGGGCCAGAGCCAGGAGCCTGGAGCTCTGTCTGGGTCCCACAGGCGGGTGCGGGGGCCCGAGCAATTGGGCCGCCCTCCGCTGCCTTCTGAGAAGAATTAGCAGGGAGCTGGGTCAGAAGCAGAGCGGCCGGGAACATACTGGTGCCCTTAGGGGATGCCGGCGTCACCGCTACGCCACAGCGCCAGCCCGCCGGCACCCCGCGTGGGCACGGGGGCAGCCGGGAGTCACGAGGCCCCCGAACCAGACCCTGCTTCCCCGAGAGGCCCCTGCAGCCCCGGCGCTCGGCATCGGAGCTCCAGTCCTGGAAACTTGGGGGTGCTCAGGGGAGAACCCGCACGGTGGACTCTAGCTCCTTTGGAGGCTGCCAGGTCGGATGTCCGTTGTGTTCCGAGAGTGAGCAGCTGGTGCCGGGCCGGCTCGGGAGGCAGGGCCCGCCCAGGCCGGCTCTCTGGGCCAGGTGTGGTCCAGGTGTCTGGTCACCCACGGCCGCCCTGCTGTCCTGTGGGACGTGTTTCCCAGTCCGTTCCTGGTGCTGGGCGAGACCGAGGGTACCTCGGGCGTGTTGGCCCCGGAATCTGAGCCTGCGGGAAGCTGGGTGCTGCAGGGTGAGCGAGAGAGGAGTTGACAGTACGTAAGCGGTGGCCGACTGCAGGGTGCCGCCCGCAAAGCAGTCAGGCGAGGACCAGCGTGGAAAGTCAGCCCCACACTACCCCCGCCACTTGATGTTTTCCGCCACAGCCCCCTCCCCGCTCAGTTCGGACCCTGGAGCACCGGCGCCCAGCCCAGGGCCCCTCTTTGCGGGAGAGCACCCGGGGGCAGTGCCTGCATGGTGGCGGCGGGGCCCGCCCAGGGCTGTGCCCGCGACCCTCCCCTCCGTGCCCCTTGTTCCCAGTATTGGAGAGGACGTCTCCTCCGTGGCTGGGGACGAGAAGACACGTCTCTGCCGTGGGAGCGGCTGGGGCAGAGGTGATGGGTGGCGCACCTCGCGCGAGGGGTCAGCGGAGCGGGAGCAGGCTTTATCCAGGAGCGCTGGGCTCTCCCTGGGAGGGAGGATCCCTAGGGTGGCTTTTCCAGCAGACTGGAGAGAGCAGGGCTGACTGTGCCCTGGGTGGGGGGTGGGGGGGGAAGGACTGCCTGGGTAGTCACCCTGGTGCAGGATTCCAGGTGCAGCCGGGGACGGTGTCCGCCGGGGACCGTATGGGAGAGCTCAGGTAGAATTAGAGAGAGAGAGAGAGACAAATCATCTGTTGGCTCACTCCCGAGATGGCCACCGTGGCCAGCGCTGGGCCAGGCTGAAGCCAGGAGCCCAGGGCTTTGTCTGGGTCTCCCACGTGAGTGCAGGGGCCCAAGCACCTGGGCCATCCTCCTCTGCTGCTCTCCCAGGTGCGTTAGCAGGAAGCTGCATCAGAAGTGGAGCTGCCGGGACTCGAACCGGCGCCCATATGGGATGCAGGCACTGCAGGCCATGGTTTTACCCGCTACGCCACAGCGCCGGCCCCAGAGCTTCACGTTTCTGGGGCCTGAATCTGCCAGTCGCCCCTTAGCACGCGGAGCGCACGGAGCGTCCCCCGTGGAGCCTGCCGCCTCCTGCCTTGCGTGCCACGGCTGCTCCCCCTGTACAGGGCGGAGGCCCGGGCCAGCTGGCCCACAGCAGGGCCCCCGGGGCGGCTCTGGTTATGTCCGGCCCCTTTCTACCCTTTCTACCTGGGACACCTGGTGGTTGCCGCAGAGGAGGGCAGGCCGGCGCGCAGAGAAGGAGCCAGGTTGTCTGAGACAGCGGTCGCCCTGGGTCTGCTCTGGTCCACGTGAACAGTGAGCCCTCCCTGGCCGTGGTCGCCCGTGGGTGAGACCACGCGGGCGAGGTGCAGGCAGCCGTCCATCTTGGGCGCTGCTGCCTACGTGACGGCCGGGGCCTGCCCAGGGCGTGGCTCCTGACCGGGCCCCTCTCCCCTCTCCCTCGCAGGTGGTGAAGACCATCGGCCTCCGGGAAGTCTGGTACTTTGGCCTGCAGTACGTGGATAATAAAGGGTTTCCCACCTGGCTGAAACTTGATAAAAAGGTGAGGTGGCTTAACTGTTCCCACGCCGCGCTGGGGCCTGCAGGTTTCCCGTACAGCCGGTGCGGCTGCTGATGGGATGGGGGCTCCCCCGGGCCTCAGCGTGCAGCTGCTGCCCGACTCCTAGCTTCTCGTGACCTGGGCTTTTCAAATGAGACCTGAACCTCGGATCTGGGAGTCGCCTCTGTAGTCCAAGCCCGTGGCTGCCGTCGGGGTCCATGACACGCCGGCTTCCCGCTCCGAAAGGATTCCTCTCGCGATCGCGGACTCTGAAAGCCGCGCCGCCCCCACCTCCTTACCCCCCCGGGTCCCACGACAGGCCGGGGTGGGGGGCTCAGTTCCAGATTCGAGGTCTCTGGGGTCAGTGGCGCTGTCCCTGGAGGCCGAGCGCGGGGTGGGGCTCCGGGCAGGCTTGGCTCGTCTCCCACGCTGCAAGGCCGTCACGGAGGAGGTGCCACATGGCCAGCAGCCACAGGGCGAGCGGGGCCTCGCGTGCGCGTCTGACCGCCAGGGCTTGGCTTCCGTGCGCAGGTCTCCGCCCAGGAGGTCCGGAAGGAGAACCCCGTCCAGTTCAAGTTCAGGGCCAAGTTCTACCCGGAGGACGTGTCCGAGGAGCTCATCCAGGACATCACGCAGAAGCTGTTCTTCCTGCAAGTGAAGGAAGGCATCCTCAGTGACGAGATCTACTGCCCGCCCGAGACGGCCGTGCTGCTCGGCTCCTACGCCGTGCAGGCCAAGTTCGGAGACTACAGCAAGGAGGCGCACAAGGCCGGCTACCTCAGCTCTGAGCGGCTGATCCCGCAGAGGTGAGCGCGGGCCCGGCGGGGCGGCCGGGGACTGCCCCTCCTGCCCCCTTGGCAGCCCGCGGTCACCTGGGCTCCGGGAGATCGGCTTCTGCTCACTCAGGCCCCTTAAATCGCCTTCTTTAGTTCTGCCGCAGGGCCGGGCTCGGCCTGTTCCAGCTGCTTAGTCTTCCAGGCTGATCCTCGCGTGTCTGGAGGCAGAAGCAGAATTCCTCGCAGTGGTTTCGTTGAAGGGCCGGCCTGTGGGTGGGAAGGGCCCCTGGAGGTGACGGCCCGCATCCCTCTCTCGCTGGCAGGGTCATGGACCAGCACAAGCTCTCCAGGGACCAGTGGGAGGACCGGATCCAGGTGTGGCACGCGGAGCACCGCGGGATGCTCAAGTGAGTGCCGGCCCTCGGGCCTGCCCCCATCCCCTGTGGCTCTGTCCCCTGTGCCTCCATCCCCTGTGGCTCCGTGCCTGGCCGAGAAGGAACTGAGCTGGAGCGGGTTCTAGGGGGCGGTGGGGGGAGGGCAGGTGTGTGCTCGGCAGAGCCAGGTGCTGTGGCCTGGGGAAGGCAGCAGTGCCGTGGGAACCTCCCTGGGCCCGCAGCACGGGGGAGACTCGGCTCCTCGCCATCCCAGCACCACTGCCCGCCCTTGTTGTCCACAAGGGGATTGTCTCCAGGAGTGGATGGAATGAAAACCGGCTGTGGCAGAAGCAGCCACAGCCTGGGGACGGAGGGACTGGGAGACGGCTGAGTGCACGCGTTAAGATTTATTTGTTTGAATTTAAAAATAATTTTTTGAAGATTTTTATTTGAGAGGTAGAGTTACAGACAACGTAGAGAGAGACAGAGAGGTCTTCCATCTGCTGGTTCACTCACCAAATGGTTGCAATGGCTGGAGCTGAGCAGACCTGAAGTCAGGAGCCAGGAGCTTCTTCTGGGTCTCCCACATGGGTGCAGGGACCCATGCACTTGGACCATCTTCTGCTGCTTTCCCAGGCCATAGCAGAGAGTTGGACTGGAAGTGGAGCAGCTGAGACTAGAACCGGTGCCCATATGGGATGCCGGCACTGCAGGCAGAGGATTAACCTGCTGTGCCACAGTGTTGGCTCCAAGATTTATTTATTTGAAAGAGCTACGCAGAGGTAGAGAGAGAACTCTTTCATCCAATGGTTCACTCCCCAGGTGGCCACCACAGCTGGAGCTGAGCCAATCCAAAGCCAGGAGCTTCTTCTGGGTCTCCCACGTGGGTGCAGGGGCCCAAGGACTTGGGCCATCATCTGCTGCTTTCCCAGGCCACAGCAGAGAGCTGGATCGGAAGTGGAGCAGCCGGGTCTTGAACTGGCAACCATAAGGGGTGCCGGCACTGCAGGCAGCAGCTTTACCCACTATGCCATAGCGCCAGCCCCTTGTATTGTTAAATTTTTATAAAAAATGTATTTGAAAAGCAGAGAGAGATCTGTCATCCTCCAGTTTACTCCTCCAATGGCTGCAATAGCTGGGGTTGGCCAGGCTGGAGCCAGGAGCCAGGAACTCCATCTGGGTCTCCCGCATGGGTGGCAGGGACCCAAGCACTTGGGCCGTGCTCTGCTGCCTTCCCAGGCGTGTTAGCAGGGAGCTGGGTGGGAAGTGGGGCAGCCGGACCAGGACCTGTTCTCATCCGGGCTGCCAGCATCATGGGTGGTAGTTTCGCCCGCTGAGCCACAGCGCAAGCCGCTGCTTCAGAGTTTGTGAGTGGTCCAGGCGTCCTGTGTAGGGGAGACACAGCTCTAGGCCCCCGGGCTGGCTCTGGGGGAGGCACTGGGAGCCCCTGGAGGAAGCTGTGCCCAGACATAGACTTGAAAAGAAAGCCCTCCTGTCTCTCGGGAAACGCACAGCAGCGGCAGCGGCCGGGGCCCCAGGCAGCCTGGCTCCTGGACCGCCCCAGGCCCTCCGGCACGGCTCGGTTGGCCGAGGGGTCGCGGCGGTCACGCCCGTGTGTGCCTCCCCTCAGGGACAGCGCTATGCTGGAGTACCTGAAGATCGCCCAGGACCTGGAAATGTATGGCATTAACTACTTCGAGATCAAAAACAAGAAGGGGACGGACCTCTGGCTCGGCGTCGACGCACTCGGGCTGAACATCTACGAGAAGGACGATAAGTGAGTCGCGCCCATTCCCGTCTGTAGCTGGGGACACACGGACGTGGTCACTGTGCGCGGGGGTCTGTCTGGATCTCTGGCCATCCCAGGGGCTGCCCAGCAGCACGGGGTGAGGGGACAGCCTAGGAGGGGCCGTGGCCTTGCTGATGGAGCCTGTGTAAAGAAGGCGGGGAGCACCCCTTCCCCTGCACGGAGCCCACCCACCCCTGCCCCACTCAGCCCAGCCTGAGCTGCGCTCCTGGCCTGGGGGTTGTGTTCACCCAACCAGGACTAGTTGCGTCGCCATCAGAGACTTGAAGATTCCAGAAGCAGTAGACCCTGAGCCAGCCGGTTGCCTCGCGTGGGCCACACTGCTGTGTGGTGGGGTCGGGCTGGGTAGTGGGCGGAGCCTGTGCAGATTTCCCTTTCTGCCAAGGAGAAAAGGGGTTCAAGTCCATGGGGGTCTCCTGAGCATGGGATGTGCCCAGCTGCTCGATTCTGGTGGCCGGAAGCCACCCGCGCTGTCGGCCTCATCCTGTGATGGCATCAGGTTCAGGCCTGGCGGGGCGGGGGAGGGGCAGTGCTCCCAGGGTCTGGACAACGCCAAGCTCAGCCCATCGTCCTGGGGTCCGGCTTCTGTGGGTGTGGGGCCGAGGCTCAGTGCCGCAGGCTGTCCTTGCGCTGTCCCTATGAGCGACAGCCGTGGCTCACCCCCCACCCGAGTCCCCGTCCCCGGCTGCTCCTGACGCCTGATGCGCGCGTGAAGAATCTCAGCCACATGTGTCCCTGCCGGAACCCAGAGCACGGGGTGGGCCGTGGGCCCGGGGGACCTGCGCCAGACCCCAGTCAGTGCCCCGGCAGGCAGCTGTGCGCAGGCCGAGGGGCGGGTAGGGTGTGCTGTGCTGCTCTGAGCAGCGGGGACTCCCACTGCTGCGAGTGGGTTCCTGAGGAAGCCCGGGGCCGGGGAAGCAGGGGTCCCACAGAAGCAGGGGTCCCGCCAGTCATTCCTCAGAGCCGGCGGGGCGGAGGCCCCCGCAGAGTCGGGATGCCCGGCCCCGTGGGAACGCATGTGGGAAACTGCCCTTGGCCTTTGAATCTGTCCCTTGAACTGCCAGATTCTGTAATGCGGTCATGGCCAAGGCTGTCCAAACAGGTTTTTCAAGCTGCACAAAAAAGCCATAGGCAGGCACTTGCTGCCGGCCTGTAACTGCCCCAGCCCATGGAAACGCTGTCTTTTGCCCAAGAACAGGAGCCACACACCCCGTTCCTTCCCCTCCTGGCCCTTCCCCCACATGGCAGTGCCTCCAAGCAGAGTGCTGGTGGCTGATTGGTCGGGTCCTCGGTCTGGGCGCGGCTGAGGGTGCTCAGAGCTCGGCTGTGCCGTGGGCAAGAATAGATACGCTTGATGCGTTGTTCAGGTGGACTGGCTGATAGACTCAGTACGTAAATTAAGCCAGGAGAGGTTTCTCCACCCTGCAAATAAACAAATACACCTTTATGTGATGAGGCGCTTGGAGCCCGGCTTGGATGTCCCCTGGGGCCCCTTTCCATTGTGGGGGGCACGGAGGCCTGGCCACTGGCTGCCCCCCTTTCTTTAAATCCAGAGCTCAGGGGGAAGGGTTGGGAAGAGGGAAGCAGGGCAGACACCTTCCCCGTGGGGGCCGTGTGAACAGGCCTCACGTGTCTGGGTTACAGTTCTGCCTGCTGCGCTCGGACCACAAACAAAACCACAGGAACTCATCCCAGCCCTTCAGGGGTACTCCCCGCTTCCTCCCTCTCTGGGTCACTCCCCCCACCCTCCTCCCTCTGGATCACTCCCCCCCCATCCTCCTCCCTCTCTGGGTCACTCCCCCCCTTTCCTCCCTCTCTGGGTCACTCCCCCACACCCTCCTCCCTCTCTGGGTCACTCCCCCACACCCTCCCCCCTCTCTGGGTCACTCCCCCCACACCCTCCTCCCTCTCTGGGTCACTCTTCCCTTCCTCCCCCTGGGTCACACCCCCACACCCTCCTCCCTCTCTGGGTCACTTCCCTACACCCTCCTCCCTCTCTGGGTCACTCCCCCACTTTTGGGCTATACCCCCCACCATTCCAGTCTCGGAAAGGGTGGGGATTTGGAGTGGCTATCTTTGGAGGTGTTGGCGGGGCTCGTGCACAGCTGGGGACCGGGAGGCACCGTGCGCGGCGTCTGTTCCCTTCAGCTCCTCGTGGGTGGTGCTGTGGCTTCCTAGACATCTCCACCTCCCGTGACCTCCCAGGCCTTCTTGCTGACCATCTCGGAGTGAACTGTGGCACCGGTGCACTTGTCCTCAAGTAGAGAAGAGCCGTTTACTCAGGCTCAGTACACCTTTTTTTTTAAAAAAAAGATTTTATTTATGTATTTGAAAGTCAGTTACACAGAGAGAGAGGAGAGGCAGAGAGAGAGAGGTCTTTCATCTGCTGGTTCACTCCCTAATTGGCCGCAACGGCTGGAGCTGTGCTGATCCGAAGCCAGGAGCCAGGAGCTTCTTCCAGGTCTCCCATGCGGGTGCAGGGGCCCAAGGACTTGGGCCATCTTCTGCTTTCCCAGGCCACAGCAGAGAGCTGGACCAGAAGTGGATTAGCCGGGACTCAAGTTCGCGCCCACATGAGATGCCAGCACTGCAGCGGCAGCAGCTTTATCCGCTATGCCATAGCGCTGGCCTCTCAATATGCTTTTTTCCTTTGATATAAACTTTATTTATTTATTTTTTTTTAAGAAAAGACGTGCTTATTTGAAAGGCAGAGTGACAGATCTTCCACCTGCGGATTCACTCCCCACATGACCACAGCAGCGGAGGCTGGGCAGGCTGAAGCCAGGAGCTGGGGACTCTATCTGGGTCTCCTCATGGGTGTTGGGGGCCCAAGCACTTGGACTGTCACCCGCTGCCTTCCCAGGCGCGTTGGAATCAGAAGCACTGAGTAGCCAGGCCGTGAGCCAGGCTCTGGGAGACAGGTGTGGGCGTGGCTTCACCTGCTGCCCCACATCTGCCTCTGCTACAGAGTTTCGACAAGTAAAGATGCCTGCAAGATACAGAACATAAGAGCGCATACTTCGAGTTTAAATTTGTAACTGTTTATTCCTATGTTTTACAATCATTTGTTCCAGAAATAGATCAACCAGTTCCTGGGTAGCTTCCCCCGGCTTCCTGGAACGTTAGCGTCTGAGGCGAGGTGACCCTGATGCGCGGTGTTAGGTGGCTATGGGCCTCGCTCCCACTCGGGTCCTGTGGCCCCCAGGATCCTGGCAGGATTACACCGCCGCCTTCGGCGTCACCCTTCCCAGTCTCCTTCCGACTGTGACCGGTGCACGGCCTGCCTTTGACCTGTAGGACCTTGCGTATTTTTAAAGAGTGCTCTCCTCGTCCTTTGCCTTGGGTTTGTCTGGTGTTTTCAGTGAAAACAGTCAGGCCTTGCGCTTTGGGAGGGTATCCAGAGTTCTCCTGCGGGGGTGGGGGGAGGGAGCACGTGAGCTCATGCCATTGGCACCCCCTGGCTCATTGGTTACCGTGATGACCGCCAGGTTTCCATCCTCTCTTTGTAAGCATTAAGTGTATTCTAGGGAGAGACCTTGAGACTATGTAAAATCCTTATTTTTTTTTTACCTTTTCTTTTTAACTTTTTAAAAAAGATTTATTTATTTATTTGAAAGGCAGAGTTAGGCAGGGGCAGAGAGAGAGAGGTCTTCATCCACTGGTTCACTCCCCAAATAGCCACAACAACTGGAGCCGGGCCAATCCAAAGCCAGGAGCCAGGAGCTTCCTCCAGGTCTCCCATGTGGGTACCGGGACCCAAGGACCTGGGACTCAAACCAGCATCCATATGGGATGCTGGCACTGCAGGCAGTGGCTTTACCAGCTATGCCACAGCGCTGGCCCTAATTTTTAAATGTTTTAATCTTTAAAAGTTTTCATTATGTTTGAAAGAGAGAGAGAGAGAGAGAGAGAGAGAGAGAGAGAGAGATCGTCATCCGCTGGTTCACTCCCCAGGGCTGGGCTGGACTGAAGCCAAGAGCCCCTCTAAAGCCGGGTCTCTGGTGTGGGTGGCAGGAAACCCGTCTACCTGAGCCATCCTCTGTGGCCTCCCAGTGTGCACTGGCAGGAAGCAGAGGAGCCAGGACTTGTGCCCAGTGCCACGCACGTGTCCCAAGTTGTGACTTAGCTGCCATGGCAGCCAGCCGCCTGCCCCTGTGCAGCCCTTACTGGTCGATTCCAGCAACCACTGGTGAGACCGAGGGGAGGCAGGTGTTGGTGTGGAATTCGAGAAGTGAGTTTTTCATTCCTTCCCCCTTCGCTAGCCGCGGTTTCCCCGCGCGGAGCCGATTTCTCTTCCCCGTCTGTTGGGTGGGTGCGGCCCCGACTGTGTCCCACTCTTAGTGTTGTCCTCCACTAGTGGTGGTGATATGATTGGCCAGATTCCTTGAGATTTGGCCCCTAGGAGCCCCTGAGGTGGGCGTGTGGCTCTGTGATTCGGAGCGCTGCCTGCGCTCACCCCTCGGGTGCTCCAGCCCAGGCCTCCAGGCCCTCTTCCGGGAGACTCCCCCAGCCCAGTTTCTGGTGTTGGGGTCCTACAAGGGAGCTCTCGGGGGAACGGGAACAGCAGCGGGTGTCGGGAAGGCGTTGATGTCCCTACCGTGGCCCAGAACTGGGGGACTTGCTCGAACTCCGCCTGGCTCCCCACTTCCCCTGGGATCCTGCGCTTCTGCCTGTCTCCATTGGGTGAGGCTTCGCAGTCTGCGGGGACAGACTTTGCGGACCCAACAGGAAGCAGAATGCGCGTGGCCGTGGGGTGCCCGGCCCTGGACACCAGGGAGCCCGTGGAGCTCAGAGGCCCAAGTTTTCCTGCTCCGAACTTGCATTGAGACCCCTGGAAGAGCAGGAGCCAGAGGCTGCGTCAGGACCCCGTCTCATGCTGGCTGGGGCTGAGCCACAGTGACTCAGTTCTCGGGGCTCTGGTCAGACCCCCCAGGCCTTCCCACACCTGGCGGGCCCAGGTAGGCCCCAGCGGGCTGCAGCTGACGGGAATGCCAGAGTTTGATGAACAAACAGGGTGGCCTTCTTTCAGCCAAGTTTCACTGATGTGAACAGAGGCGGCTCTCACGGCCAAGGCCGAGCGACACAAAGGCCCCGTGGAAAGGGGCGGGGAGGAGTCCCGGGAAAGCAGCCAGGACAGCCTGGAAAGGCAGTGGTCTGGGGCTTGTAGACCCTCTGGGAAGTTTGTACGAGGCCCTCTAAGAAAAGTGTTCATCTGTGCTGGGCTCATCCTGCCTTCCTGCCTCCCATTCCTCCCACGCGGTCCCCCGCTCCCAGATGTGCTGTCCGTGTCTTAGCCGGGCTCCCGTCTTGCTGTTTTAAGGGCCCTGGGCCCGTTAGTTTCTCTCTTACCCTGGTTGTTCATGGTCTGCAGGCTTTTGCGTTTTAAGTTCCCTGTTTTAGTTTTTGCAAAGCGCAGCTCCTGAGTGCATGCCCTTGTGTTGCTTAGCAACCAGGGGCCACTCCTCACCACGGACCCACTCCATGCTAACCTAACCCAGCCTGCTTTTTTTTTTTTTAAGATGTATTTATTTACTTATCTGAAAGGCAGAGCTACACAGAGGTAGAGGCAGAGAAGTCTTCCATCCACTGATTCACTCCCCAAATGGCTACAACGGCCAGAGCTGAGCTGATCCGAAGCCAGGAGCTTCACACGCAGGTGCAGGGGCCCAAGCACATGGGCCATCTTCTACTGCTTTCCCAGGCCATAGCAGAGAGCTGGATCAGAAGTGGAGCAGCCGGGACTCGAACTGGCTTCCATATGGAATGCCGGCACTGCAGGCCCCACTGCGCCACAGCGCCGGCCCCCCAGCCTGCTTCCTGCTGCCTGCGAGCAGGTCCAAGCAGCAGCCGCAGCGCTGCAAGGCAGGTAGATAAGAGAATGACATCTCTGAACACGCAGTGCCCGTGCACGGGGGGACTTCTCTGAACGCAGCCCCTGCTGGCACGCCTGCTCTGTGTGTTTTTATGGGAAGTGGCGACCCAGGGGACAGAGCTGTAAGATGGAGGCTCCGACGCGGCCGACCAGCCCCGCAGGTGCGCCCCTGCAGGTGTGCCGCGGGGCCTCCTCCCCGCCTCGCCCATCTGAACCCTGGGTGGACAGCACTCCTCCCCACCCCCGCTGCGTTCTGAAAAGCGGGGCTCGCGGGGCTGTGGTGGAAGCAGCAGGTCCGCCGTTGTCCGTTCTTATGCGTAACGGGGCTGGGGAGTTGTCGAGTAAGCGGAGCGGTGTGGTTCCGAGTCATGGGACGGACTGTCCGAGGGTCCCTGTGAAAAAGCCGGGGTTCAGGCGGGAATGCTGCATGCTATGGAGAGCCGTGGGGCTGCCCCGGGGGTCTGCGGTCCGAGGGCCCTTCTGGAAACTGGAGGGTGACACGGGAAGATCCAGCCAGAATGCCTGGCACTAAAAGTGCACTCAGAGTCCACACCTGCCCCGAGCGGCGGGTGGAGACGGGGGCGGGGCCTTTCCCTGGCACACGGGGGCTGGGGGGGGCTGGCATGGGTGGTGGTTACCTTATTTATATGGCAAAGTTTCTGCCCTCTCTTCATGCTTGTTAAGTAGATGTTGGGGAGACAGTTTGGGACCAGGTTGGAAGGGTGGGTGTGAGCCAGCACACTGTTGATGGCTGCGGGGATGGGGAAGGAGGGAGTGTGGGTGGGTGGGGTAGAGAGAGGCCCGGCAGGACAGAAGGCTGCGCCTGGTTAGTGGAGGCCCCTGGCCTCGAGATGACCGTGTGGCAGCGTGGACAGGTCGGACGAGAGTGGATATCAGTGTTGTGCCCCGGGCTGCCTCTCTGCAGTTGTCCTGTGTTGAACTGCTGCAGATTAAGACTGGACTTGGGGGCCTCCGCGGCCGACCCCAGTGCACTGAGTGTGTACCTGCAGCTAACGATCCGCCTCTTTTTTTTTTTTTTTTTTTAACCTCAGGTTGACCCCAAAGATCGGCTTTCCTTGGAGTGAAATCAGGAACATCTCTTTCAATGACAAAAAGTTTGTCATTAAGCCCATCGATAAGAAGGCACCTGTAAGTGGGGGTTCCCGCTTTTTGGGGTAACAGCTCAGTGAGTCTCGGGGAAACACTCAGACTGCTCTGTGTGACAAGGGGGAGACGCTCGAATGCCCCATCTCTGCCGGAGAAGAACTTCCGGCCGGCCACTGTGAGGGCCAAGGGCCCTGTGGCTGAGTGCCCGTTGCAGTGCGAGGGGACAGGGGAGACGGGGTGTCCATCAAAACCCAGCTGACTGTAACCAGGCGCCCAGAGGGTCTCATGGCTACGAAGAAGAGGGCAGTTCCCCAAGTCGCTGACCTCGGCCAGACGGTGACCATTTCCCAGAATGCCTTGTCCGTCACCCGTGCCTGGGAAATCAGCCCAGTGTCCATGTGGACAGCCCGTCCATCTGCATACAGGTGCCTGGGGCAGGGCCCAGGCTGGAGGGTGGACAATGAGACCCCCAGGTCTGAAGGGCCAGAGATGGCTTCCAGGGCTGTCCTTGACCTTAGCCAAGTGTGCCCAGAGCGTCCCCTCTGCCAGGTGCATGCTGGGAAGTGACCTCTCTGCCAGATGAGGCTGGGACCAGGGCCACGCTTCCCATCGCAGCCGCACAGAGCTGTGTACCGGGGAGGCGCAGGCTGGTTCTGTCTGTTCTGCCTGCCCTCGGCCTCTCGGCGGGTGTTTGCTCAGAACACTTGATGACGGGTACGTCCGTGACTGGCTTGGTGTAAGGGGGAAATGTGGTTTAAGTTGCCACTCGAAGGAGTTGTTGCCCCTTTAGACCCAGGGGACGGATTCTTAGGTCACCACTGTTCCTGTAGGGTGCAGGCCTCGGGCGCCTGGCGTGGGGCTGCTCAGCCGCCTGGAACAGCAGGTTCCACGCCCTTGTTAGTCCAGCGTAATTTAAAATCAGCAGGTCTTGACGTTGTTTGCAAAAAGTATTTTCTTCTTTATTGGAAACGCTTCCTGCTGTTTGCAGACTCTTGACTTGACTCTGTGGGTGGTGGCCCAGTTATTTGAAATTAAGCCCGCCCTCCACTCAGACCCCGCGGCTCCATGGTAACTAAGAGGGAGACCGGGGACAGCAGTCTGCCCTCTCCGAGCGACACTGCCCACCTCCCGGGACTCAGGTGGAGCCGGGGCCCGCACCAGCCCAGACTCTCAGGATCGGGGCGCCGCGTGCGCATCTGGCCTGGTGTAAGCTCAGCTTTGGGAAAGCTGAAGAGGGTGTCATCCCAGAGCCCCGAGCCACGGCAGCTGGGATGCGTCCGGCTCCTGTGTCTCCATCACTGACACAGGAGAGAGGCAGGGAAGAGGGGGCTGGCCACGCCCTGGGTACCTGGCACTCCTGGGCCCGGCACACACATCACGAACGGGACGACACCTGTCCACTCTGGCAGAAGGCAACTGAAGCCGGTCCACAAGGTGCTTCTATGATGGAAAAACAAAGCAAGATGGGTGCAGTGAGGAGAGGCGGCATTGCTGGGTGGGGGTGGGGGAAGCGCAGTCTTGTCACCCTCCACGCCCTCGGGGGCTGCTGGGCAGCAGGGCCTGGTCTGTCTTTTTAAGATGTTGTTATTTGAAAGGCAGAATGACAGAGGGGAAGAGAGAGCTCTCCTGTCCACTGGCTCACTCCCCAAATGGCCAGGCCCAGGAGCTCCATCCTGCGCTTCCACACTGGTGGCAGGGGCCCGAGCACTTGGTCCCTCTCCACTGCCTTCCCAGGCGTATCAGCAGGTTGCTGGATCAGAAGTGGAGTTGCCGGGGCTCGAAGCAGCACTCCAGTGCGGGCCTAGCCTGCACCCAGCGCCAGCCACCTGGCCTTGGTCTTCCGCTTGGTCAGGTTTACATGAAAGCATAGCAGGGCGGCAAGGACTCCCCTTCTGGCTGCCTTGCGGGGGCGCCTGGCACTGCCCCTCCTCACGCAGGAGGAACCTACCCTGGAGCCTCGCCCCGGGCCAGGCTGCTGCCTTTCCCGCTGGCTAAGGGCCTCTGGTTCCTGCGGCCTGTGGCAAAAGCAGCCGGGCCGGCTTTTGAACTGGTGACAAAATGGCCGGCCCTGGCTCAGCTGCCTGCCGCCCTGTGAGCCTGGGGGAGCCCCTCGGCCTGCCTGGGTCCCTGTGGGGGAGGCTTCCCAGCCGTCTGTGGCTCCTCCTCCTCCTCCCACCCCCCCACCGAGGTAATGGGGTCCTTCAGGTTTTGCATCAGAAAGCCCAGGTCTGGGACTTGGATTTAGAAGGGGCTCCTGGGGGTTTATGCGGTTCCACCTGAAATCAAAGGCGGCAGGAGGAGCCCCCTCCCCACCTCTGCCCCAGCAGCTGACCCGCCAAGGTTCTGAGTTCCTTGGAGTCCCGGCCCCTTGCGGTTTCAGTGGACTTTTTTCTGACCTTGGTCTGGGCTGATCTTTACAGATCTGAGTCTCAGGAGGGGGCCCCCCGCTGGGCCTCTGAGCCCGACACACAAGATTGCTTTCTCTTGGGTAATCAGAGATGGGCAGGTAATAAAAATTCCGGTTTCTCCCGCCCTGGGCTCCTCCCTGGGAAACCCGATGACTTAATAACAAGTGTGCGAAACCCCAAGGAAGGCCCCGCCCAGGAAGTGCAGGGCTTCTCGGCCTGGGCCTCCCCTCCCGTTCCCCAGCGTCTGGCTGCCCGGGGCCTCGAGGTGCACAGGAGGCACACAGAGGCTCTCCTTGTAGAGGAACCGCTTAGGAAATCTTCCCCTGTCCAGGGTGGGGCGCCACTGGCCATGGAACTGCTGAGGGCCCGGTTCCGTGCTGTGCAGAAGGTTCCGTGCTGCCGTCTGAGCCAGACGCTGGCCCAAGGACCGTACAGACCTCTGGGTTGTTCCCGACAGGCCCCTTAGGCACCAGCACCCCCAGGGCCACGCGCTGACTCCCACGGTGGCCGGGGGCTGCAGGGCTCAGGAAATCCTGAACATTGCACTGACCCCAGAGAGATGGAGGTGAGCGAGCACAGCCCCCGCCCTCGGCGGCAGCAGCCCGATGGGGGCAAGAGCCAGAGACGCCAGGGACGCTAGTGTGTGATGAGTCTGCCGGGGCCTGTGGGAGAGGGAGCAGGGCGGGGGTCCTTGGGGACTGGCACAGCTCACGCAGGCCTCAGGGGGCTGAAGCAGTTGAAGACCTGGCCGGTGGCCCGAATGACAGCTCGGTCTGTGTGTGAGGGAAAGGCTGGGAGATGGAACTTAAAACAGGAGGAGCCGCGGCCAAGGGAGGAGGGGACACGGGCTGCACGGTGGGGGGCAGGAGGGGCGTGCACCCCTGAGTGGTGTGGGTGTCCTGGGCTGGGAGGCCTGGCCGTGGCCAGGTTTCTGTGCGTGCATACCGCACCTGCTCCCCACTCCCCGCCCCACCGCTGGCCCCGTTGGCCACCGCAGCTGTCCTTTCAGAACTCAGGGAAGCGTGGCCTGGGAGACGCGGCCACGCAGAGGTGGTCTCAAGGCAGCCCCACCCTGCTCTCCCCTGTAGGACTTCGTGTTCTACGCCCCCCGCCTGAGGATCAACAAGCGGATCCTGCAGCTCTGCATGGGCAACCACGAGCTGTACATGCGCCGCCGGAAGCCGGACACCATCGAGGTCCAGCAGATGAAGGCGCAGGCGCGCGAGGAGAAGCACCAGAAGCAGCTGGAGCGGTGGGTGTCGGGGGCCGGGGCAGGGAGCACGCTGGGGTCCCCTCCGCGCCGCCCCCCTCGCAGGCAGCAGGGGCCAGCGGCTGAGGGCGGGGCCCCTCTTCCTCCTCCCGGTCCAGGCAACAGCTGGAGTCGGAGAAGAAGAGGAGGGAGGCCGTGGAGCAGGAGAAGGAGCAGATGTTGCGGGAGAAGGAGGAGCTGATGGTGCGGCTGCAGGACTACGAGCAGAAGACCAAGAAGGCGGAGAAAGGTGGCGCCCGCGGGCCCCGTCCCGGGTGTGGGCGCCGAGGCAGGGCCGGTCCCCGCACGCCTGGGAAGAGCGTGTTCCCAGGACGGGTCTCGGTTTAATGCAGGTTCCCAGCCACGGGGCTCCTGCCAGGGAAGGCACAACCTGGCTGTTTAGCCCAGTACCAAGTTCACAGGCACTGCGCCAAAGAGGGGGGCTTCCCGGCCTGCCCCCGGCCCTGGGGATGAGAAGCCAGGCCCCCTCGCAGGCTGGACGCCCCAGGGAGGCGTGAGGGCAACAGCTCCTACAGCCGTTCTTCCCCAGTGAGGGGGCCGGGCCTGGGGCCAGCTGTGGTGAGACCCGAGACAGGCGTGGCGAGAGCCGTGCCGCGCGGGCCCTAACACTGGCCTGGGAGCACTTGGCAGGAGGGTTTCTCGCTGTCCTGAGGGGTCCTGAGGGTGGCTCCTGCGCTGGGCCCCTGTCTGAGCCGCCCTGGCCGTCCCCTAGAGCTCTCCGACCAGATCCAGAGAGCCCTGCAGCTGGAGGACGAGAGGAAGCGCGCCCAGGAGGAGTCCGAGCGCCTGGAGGCGGACCGCGTGGCCGCGCTGCGGGCCAAGGAGGAGCTGGAGAGGCAGGCGGCGGACCAGATAAAGAGCCAGGAGCAGCTGGTAGGGCTGAGTGGTGGAGGGGCAGCTTCTGGGAGCCGAGGCAGTGACCCCTGCCTTGTCGTGGCTGTCCCCTGGGGCTGGGAGGGGGCTCTGGCACGGCGGGGTCGGGGGGGGGGGGAGGGAGGCCGGTGGACACTGCTGCTCAGCGCTGAGGCTCCCCCTCCCTTCCCAGGCCGCAGAGCTCGCCGAATACACCGCCAAGATTGCCCTGCTGGAGGAGGCGCGGCGGCGCAAGGAGAGCGAGGTGGAAGAGTGGCAGCACCGGGTGAGCCTGGCTCCCGCGTGGGCGCTGCCGGGTCGGGAGGAGGTGTGACTCCGCCAGCTGCACTTGCAGGAACGGGCGTGGCTGGGGCGCTGGCGAGCGCAGCTGCGGGATTAGCAGAGGACCCTCGTTCCCCACCTTCCTCTGCCCAGCTCTGCTCCCATGGCCGCCGTCCGTACCGCAGGGCACCCGGGGAGTCCTGGGAGCTCGCAGGTCTGCAGAGCTGGGGAGATCTGGGCTCAGCCAGGAGCCTCGGCTCCCTCACTGCGGCGTGGGGCAGCTCCCGGCTCCCCAGGCGAGGCAGCCGCCCTTGGGCTGGCGGTCAGAAGGGGGCCTGTGCTCCCGGGTGCCCTGTGGGACAGCACAGCCCCAGGAGAGCCTGCAGGTGTGGTCCATGGCGGAGACTTAACCCCAGGCCCTTCCCGCCCGAGGTACAAAAAAGATTTGGGTGCTTGGGTTTTTGGCAGTGCCACAGGTGCCACACCCGCAGGTCCACCAACCGTCCGTGGAAAACAGGTTAAAAAAATGGAATCTGCACCAAGCGTGTGCAGACTTTTTTTTTTTTAAAGACATTTATTTATTTGAGAGGCAGAGTTACAGACAGATCTTCCGCTCGCTGGTTCACTCCCCAAATGACTGCAACGGCCAAAGCTGGGCTGATCCAAAGCCAGGAGCCAGGAGCTTCTTCTGGGTCTCTCACGCGGGTGCAGGGGCCCAAGCACCTGGGCCATCCTCCACTGCTTTCCCAGGCCATAGCAGAGACCTGGCCTGGAAGTGGAGCAGCCGGGACTCGAACCGGCACTGCAGGCGGAGGTTTAGCCTACTAGGCCACAGCGCTGGCCCCCAGACTTCTTGACGCTCCCCCTACATGATGCGACATAACAGCTGCCTACACTGGTGCCGGCCACCCCAGGACGTGGCCTCCTGCTGGGCTCCCGTCTGGACCGAGCACCTGCGGACTGTGCAGTGTGCAAGGGCTCCAGACCCAGTGGTGCTGTCCCAAACGTGCTCACACGTGTTCAGTGAGACACGGCCCGCAGGGCGGAACCAGGGGAAGCTCGTGTCCAGGGCTGGGTGGGGAGTGGTGGTGGGATGCACAGGAGGCGCCCAGGAAGGGAAGAGAAACGGTCCTGCAGCCGCGGCCCCTGCGCGCTGTAGCCGTGGCTGCGGCTGCCCCGAGCTCCCGCCCAGGGCCACTTGTGCGAGGAGACGCTCGGCCCCGGGAGAGGCTCCCTGGGACGAGGGTCCTGGGGGTCTTCTCACCTGTCCATCTGCTTCCCCAAGGCCCGGGAGGCCCAGGACGACCTGGTGAAGACCAAGGAGGAGCTGCACCTGGTGATGACGGCGCCCCCGCCCCCGCCGCCCCCCATGTATGAGCCGGTGAGTTACCACGTCCAGGAGCACCTGCACGAGGAGGGCGCGGAGTCCCTGGGCTACAGCGCCGAGCTGTCCAGCGAGGGCATCCTGGACGACCGCCACGAGGAGAAGCGCATCACCGAGGCCGAGAAGAACGAGCGCGTGCAGCGACAGCTGTTGGTGAGCAGGCCCGGCGCCCGCCCGGGGGGTCTGGGGTCGGCCCCACCCCGCCCCCGCCCCCGCCCCCACCCAGCCACGCCCCGGCCCCGCCCACGCCCTGCCCCCCGCCCAGCTCCGCCCCACCCCGCCCCCACCCCGCCACGCCCCGGGCCCGCCCACGCCCCGCCCCCCGCCCAGCTCCGCCCCACCCCGCCCCCACGCGGGAGCTGACGGCTGCGTTCTCGCCCCGCAGACCCTCAGCAACGAGCTGTCCCAGGCCAGAGACGAGAACAAGCGGACGCACAACGACATCATCCACAACGAGAACATGAGGCAGGGCCGCGACAAGTACAAGACGCTGCGGCAGATCCGGCAGGGCAACACCAAGCAGCGCATCGACGAGTTCGAGGCCATGTGAAGCCCCGGCGCGCCCGCGCCCTCCTGCTCTGTCTGCAGATCCAGTGCCTTCACGCGGGGGCCAGGCGCCCGCAGGAGTCGCCTGGGCCGGGCCCCGGGCCAGGCGCCCTTGTTCACTGTCCCCACTGTCTCCTAGTGCCAGGCGGGCCTCGCGGGGTTGGGTGTGGGATGGCTCCCTGCCCCCGCAGAGGCCGCGTGCCAGGGTCGGCGCCAGCCGGCGAGCCAGGAGGGCAGGATTCCGCCTCCTTAGGGACACCTCGCGCCTTCGCCCGTGCCATACTCTCTCTGTATTTGAAATGAGCTCAGATTGATTGATTTGTTCCTGATTTCTATGAAGGATCCACCTCTGCAGTCCGCGGGTGAACAGTCGACTCGGAGTCGGTGTCCCTGATGTCCCCTGCGCGGCTGCGGCTGGCAGAACCTGCAGGGGCCACTCCCAGTGGACACTCACGGTTAACTCTCTGCTTCACAGACCACCTTGTGGGACTTGTTCGTGAGAACCATCAGCTTAGCGCATCCTATTTATGTACGCGACAATGGAGTTGGTGACATTAGTTTCAAAAAGGGAAAGCCTTCTGTATATTTTGTTACCTTTTACAGAATAATAAAGAATTACCAAATAGAACCCCCGTCCCCCCGGCACCTCGTCTGACGTGGCGCGAGGGCAGTGCAGGCGCCGAGCTGCTGCCGTGGTCCCATCTCTAAGGACGACTTCTTTAGCTTGAGGGTTCTCTGCTTCCTGCCTGTACTCGATTTCCTGTCGAAGCTGCTTGTTTGGAAAGTGCCACACGCGCTGATGAGCGCTCCGATCCCAGATGGGAAAGGACTCTAGGTCCGTGTGTCGCCCGTTTCCCCGGAAGAGCCGCCTCCAGCCCTGCTTCTTCCTGCCGGGGCCCCGTAGCAGTCGACACGGCAGCCCCGCTGTGCTGTGGGCTCTGGCCGAGAGGCCCCGTGCAGTTGAATTGTGCCCACAATAAAGGCTGTATCAGGCAACGTGGCAGTGGGCGTCTACTTGCATGTGGGGGCAAGGGGGGCACCATGCGAGACATCCTGCCCCAAGCCATGTCACGGCGGCCGTCATTGACATCCGGCCATTTCCCACGTCTCACGAACAGGTCCCAGCCAGTCCTAGACTGGCTAATGCAGACTCCGTGATAACTGTGTAATAGAGGTGGTCAGGGACGTCTTAGCCACAGGACACACGGTTGGATCACGTCCCACGGTGCCCGTGCACTGCCCACCTCCAAGGGCACACGGGGCCTTGTCACACCCGGTGCGGCCTGAGGCCCTCACTTCAGTGCAGGACGAGCGTCATGTCTGTCCACAAGTTGGGGCTGGACAGAACCCTCTGCCATTGGAGCTTGGACTGTGCACACGGGTCCACGCCACCGGCTGCCTCTCCCTCTGTAACATGAGTGACACATTAGGGCAGGGGAGGACACTGTCACCACCCCTTCTTGGCTTTTGGAAAGGGAGCATCCCCAGGAGAAGTCGACCTCACAGCTGCATAGAATGCCGACCCCTGATAAATGAGAGACCCTCCAGAAAACCAGGGTGGGGATGGGGTGGATGCCAGCCGGGCAGGGCTGGCTCGGGACCAGTGTTCACCAAGGCCAGTGGGCGAGCACGGGGCAGTGGGTGCGTTCCTGGGCCAGGGCGCTGGCTTAGGGACCAGTGTTCACCAAGATGACTGGGCGGGCACGGGGCCGTGGGTGCGTGCCTGGGCCAGGGCACTGGCTCGGGACCAGTGTTCCTCAAGGCCAGTGGGCGAGCACGGGGTAGTAGGTGTGTGCCTGGGCCAGGGCACTGGCTTAGGGACCAGTGTTCACCAAGGCCAGTGGGCGAGCACGGGGCAGTGGGTGCATGCCTGGGCCAGGGCACTGGCTCGGGACCAGTGTTCACCAAGGCCAGTGGGTGAGCACGGGGTAGTAGGTGTGTGCCTGGGCCAGGGCACTGGCTTAGGGACCAGTGTTCACCAAGGCCAGTGGGTGAGCACGGGGTAGTGGGTGTGTGCCTGGGCCAGGGCACTGGCTCAGGACTGGTGTTCACCAAGGCCAGTGGGCGGGCGCATGGGGCAGTGGGTACATGCCTGGGCCAGGTTTACTCCCTGAAAGGGGTGAGCTTTGAGACATGGTCCTGGGGGTGTGTGGAGATGCTGTGCAGGTGTTTGGGGCTGTCACAGGGGCCAGGCCCCCAGTGGGCAGCACCCAGAGGTGTTGCTAAGGAAGTACTTCTGAGTCACCATTTGGGTTAAGAAGATATTTGCCTTTAAGAAAATAATCCTTTTACAAAGTTTGACACCAGAAACAAAAACAAACACTGTCCCGAGCCCATTTTTGAGGCCCGTTACTTGTGCCTCCTTAGCAGATCTAAATCTGATTTAAATTGTCAGAATAGTTGGCTGCATTAGCGCTCAGCTGGGGCAGAACGCGACTTGGGCACTTCGAGAGCCTGTTCGAGTCGGCTGCTGGTGGAAGCCCTTCTCCCCAGCCACTAAGGGTAAGCTACGCTGCTTGGACCCAACAGGTGTCTTCATGGACTTACTTGGACCAAGCTTGGCTCCTCCCAGCAAGCGGTCACTCATGCCAAAGACGCCGTGGTCCCAGACGGTCAGCTCCAAGCTTGACTGCCTCAGCTGGGACGCAGTCACGCCCCTGAACACAAAGGAGTGCTTCCACTGGGGACAGGCCTGCTGCCTCAGGACCGGGGACTTCAGCCTCAGTCTCTGCCGGCCCGGCAGAGTGAGGCAGCTAAGGAGAGACGGAGACTCGTCACTGCCCTGCCCCCAGCCCTCCCCCGGCACGTGGGCCCCAGTGCAGGCCGAAAGCCCTAGGAAAGGTGCCGTGTCCGTGCAGACTGGACCTGGCAGTGACATGTCCATGCAGACGGGACCTGGCCATGTGCTCTCACTAGGACGTGTCCATGCAGACTGGACCTGGCTGTGACGTGTCCGTGCAAACTGGACCTGGCCGTGACGTGTCCATGCAGACTGGACCTGGCCGTGTGCTCTCACTAGGACGTGTCCGTGCAGACTGGACCTGGTGTGACGTGTCTGTGCAGACTGGTCCTGGCTGTGTTCTCACTAGGACATGTCCATGCAGACTGGACCTGGCCATGATGTGTCCGTGCAGACTGGACCTGGCCGTGTGCTCTCACTAGGACGTGTCCATGCAGACTGGACCTGGCTGTGACGTGTCCATGCAGACTGGACCTCGCTGTGACGTGTCCGTGCAGACTGGACCTGGCCGTATGCTCTCACTAGGACGTGTCCGTGCAGACTGGACCTGGCTGTGACGTGTCCATGCAGACTGGACCTCGCTGTGACGTGTCCGTGCAGACTGGACCTGGCCGTGTGCTCTCACTAGGACGTGTCCGTGCAGACTGGACCTGGTGTGACGTGTCTGTGCAGACTGGTCCTGGCTGTGTTCTCACTAGGACATGTCCATGCAGACTGGACCTGGCCATGATGTGTCCGTGCAGACTGGACCTGGCCATGATGTGTCCGTGCAGACTGGACCTGGCCATGACATGTCCATGCAGACGGGACCTGGCCATGACGTGTCTATGCAGACTGGACCTGGCCGTGTGCTCTCACTAGGACGTGTCCATGCAGACTGGACCTGGCTGTGTTCTCACTAGGACATGTCCATGCAGACTGGACCTGGCCATGATGTGTCCATGCAGACTGGACCTGGCCATGACATGTCCATGCAGACGGGACCTGGCTGTGATGTGTCTATGCAGACTGGACCTGGCCGTGTGCTCTCACTAGGACGTGTCCATGCAGACTGGACCTGGCTGTGCTCTCACTAGGACGTGTCCATGCAGACTGGACCTGGCCATGATGTGTCCGTGCAGACTGGACCTGGCCGTGATGTGTCCATGCAGACTGGACCTGGCCATGACGTGTCTATGCAGACTGGACCTGGCCGTGTGCTCTCACTAGGACGTGTCCATGCAGACTGGACCTGGCCGTGCTCTCACTAGGACGTGTCCATGCAGACTGGACCTGGCTGTGACATGTCTGTGCAGACTGGACCTGGCCGTGCGCTCTCACTAGGACGTGTCAGGTTTCTCAGAGCTGAACTCTGCAGCCCTCTGCAGGCAGCCTGGAGGCTGAGTTGGAATTCTGCGGCCATGTGCCCTCGTCATCTTGGTGGGCCTCCATCGTGCTGTCCCTATACCCAGGGCCCAGCACTTGATGCATGCTGCCACATTGCAACCCTGATCCTGGGAGTGAGCTCAGAAAGCCCGAGTCACTTGCCCAGGGCCTCCTAGCAGGCTGCAGGCTCAGGACAGACTCTTGGCTCTGTCTGCACGCAGTCAGCCATCACCGCTCCATGCAGCAGTGGTCGGGGATTTAGCCGCACACTGTAGAACCAGTGGTGGTTGCTGTGCTGTGGAGAGACAGCACTCTGTAGTGTGACTAAGAATGCAACGGGAGCCATCCGTCTCCCTGGGGACGGGACCCAAGTGTGGGCGCATACTTGGTGCCTGTTCCACACACACGTAAGCTGAAGACCATTTTGGACGTGGTATTTAGCACACGTGTGTTCTGACTGCCACCCACCCCCGAGGTCAAGTGTGGAATTCACATGTGGCTTCACTGGTCAGCGCTCAGAGCGCTGGGTTTTTGGATTTTGGATTAGGGCTGCCCAGTCTGAACCTGGCCTCAGTCTTGGCGGTCAAGGTCTTTCACGTACATTGTGTTTGGTTTTCACGGGGAAGCTAAGCAAGTTTGAGATGGCTCCCGCTTTGTGGTCTTTGCAGGTTCTAGGCCAAGTGTGTGCCCACGTGGCAGCGAACGTTCGAGTGCACCTAATACTCACCCTTTGACAAAGGCGTTCAGGGTGCCGTCTGACCGCACGGGTAGATGCCTGGCTCCCAGCACCACCAGACAGAGCTGGCCGTTGAGTGACATCTGATCTGTCCCTGGAAGGAAGCCAGTGTTGACTGTCAAACCCCTAGGAGTGCCATCTTACCAGAGGCCAGCCAGTCTGCCCTGGGAGGAAGCTGGGGGACCACAGAGAGGTGGCCTTGCCTGCTTTCCGCCCCCAGGCAGTGGGCTCAGGGCTCCGTGGGTCTCGCAGTCACTGGGGTATGCGGGATGGGTGAGCAGTGGGGCGCCAGTGTAGGAGAACATTCTACCCGCCTCAGCCCAGGCTCTGGGGCCTTTGACACGGGAATGTCCAGGAATGAGGGTCACCTACCGTCTGGAGCCCCCTGGGGCGCTCTGGGCCCTGCAGGCAGGACCAGTTTGGCCCGGACTGCAAGTTCTCCATTATTCTGAGGACAGACATCTTCAGGTTTTTCTGCCTGGGGACAAGAGGCAGAACTCAGAGGCAGGATTCCCGGCCACTCACTGCCCCACACACCTTCCGGGCTCCTCTGGTGGTAAACGCTCCCTGACCACCCAGCTCCGTTTCAGGGCAGCCCTCCTTGGCCCTTGGGTGCCAGGTGAGATGACACAGCTTCCACCCTCAGCTCCCCGAACAGCGCCGGTCCCCGGCCCCTCCGTGGGAGCTCCGGGCAGCCCGTGAGTGAGCACCGCCCAGGCCAGCACTGGGAGGGGAGCCTCCTGGCCTGGTGCCCTCTGCTCTGGGCAACACCTGTCTGGTGCCAGGCCTGTGCCAGGGGCTGGAGACAGAGGTGTCCCTGGCCCTGTCTGAGCTGACCGCAGTGGAGTTCTGCTGATGAGGAGAGAGCTCTGTCCCAAACGTCACCTTGGCCCGGAGCGGGTACCAGTGGGAAGACTGCGCTGCACCGTCCTCGAAGTCCCACGTGGCCAGCGGAATGACCACTTCTCCGAGAAACGCCCTCCGGGCCAGCGTGCCCAGGTGCCACACGGAGACCTGCAGCCGCCGCGTCGCTAGCTGGGCAGGGTCCACCTGGTACTGCAGGGGCAAAGTCGGGGTGGTCAGCAGGGCTCCAGGGCCCCCCACAAGCTGAGCCCCCACCCCTGGCTGCTGCCAGCGTCCCGGGGTAGTGGTGGTAGGGAAGTGAAGCTGCTTGGACCAGGCGCGGGGGGCATCTTTCTCTACCTAAGAGCTCCCGGGCCCCTGGTGCTCTGCCTGGGAACAGACTGAGATGGCCCTGGCAGCCAGAGAGCCCCCTCCCTCCCTCGACCCCCCTTCTGCTTTTCTAAGAACGAGACAAAGGTGAGAGAGCTCATCCAGCCCAAGGCTCCCGGAAGTCAAGCCACAAGCTCTGCCAGACCTGCACCTGAACTTGGATCGGCCAGGGCTGCCCTAGAATCCTGAAACAGGACTTCCACTTTCTACACGCAAGACATGAGCACTGACCCCGCGTGTTTGCCCAAGAGAGACGAGCAGCGGGAGCCGTCCCTGGCCAGCCTTCTCATGGGGCGCCCCAGCCTCTGTCATCCCTGACCCCAGTGACAATGCTTCCCAGGGCGCTCTGGGGGTTGGGCTTCCAGATCCTCACCTCCCACCCCACCCACTCGGACTCCAGGGATGCCCCAGGCTGTGGAAGCCTCCTGGAGGCCCAACCAAGAAGCATCTGAAATAATACTGCAGGGGCCAGAGGGGTGGCATAGCTGGTAAAGCTGCCGCCTGCAGCACCGGCATCCCATATGGGTGCACCACTTCCTGTCCCGACTGCTCCACTTCTGATCCAGCCCCCTGCTGACGTGCCTGGGAAAGCAGCAGCAGATGGCCCAAGTCCTCAGGCCCCTGCCACCCATGGGAGACTCAGAGGAAGCTCCTGGCTCAGGACTTCTGCTTGGGAGTGAACCAGCAGATGAAGATCTCTGTCTCTCCCCTTCTGTCTATAACTCTGACTTTTTTTATATTTCTTTTTTATTTATTTATTTGACGGGAAGAGTTACAGACAGAGACAGAGAGAAAGGTCTTCCTTCCGCTGGTTCACTCCCCAGATGGCTGCAAACGGCTGGCACTGCACCGATCCGAAGCCAGGAGCCAGGTGCCTCCTCCCGGTTTCCCATGTGGGTGCAGGGCCCAAGCACTTGGGCCATCCTCCACTGCCCTCCCGGGCCACAGCAGAGAGCTGGATTGGAAGAGGAGCAGCCAGGACTAGAACCCGGTGCCCATGTGGGATGCCTGCACCACAGGCGGAGGATTAACCTAGTGAGCCACAGCGCTGGCCCCCGTAACCCTGACTTTGAAATAAGCAAATAAAAATCCTAAGGGGAAAAAAAAAAAGGAAAAGCAACACTAGACCCCGTGAGGCTGTTGCGTCCTCGCAGCTCGCCCAGCTCACGCCCATGCCTAGTAAGGATGAGGTGGCCCTGCCGGGCTATCCTGAGTTCCAAACAGAGACACTGATTCCTCGAAACCTATCTGGAACGCTTCCCACGACTGCAGACTGCTCACGATGTGAATGAAACCACAAAAACATTCAGGGATTTGAGACTCACACTGTACAATTAAATATCTAAGAAACAGTCAGCCCTTACGGTGAGCGCATTTCATGAATCCCTATTTATACACAGAATACCATAATTAAACTGACAGTGACAGATTTTAGATGTCAGAATACGTGAGGCCACTTCGAAGACCTCGGAGCAAAGCAGAACTGGAAGATAAGTTTCTGCAAAGAAATTTTGAAATCCGTGCCTGCATTTTTCATAACACACATTTTCTATGAGTCTTTGGAGGCCCCTCACATGTATAGATTTAAAAAAAAAAAAAAAACCTGCACCCTAATAAACCTATCTTTCCCCTCCATTCCGTGAACTTTTGGAAGCCCCCTCGGTTTTTCAAACTTCTCTCAGCAGCAAGTGAGCAAAGCTCTCAGTGCCCAAAGCTCCTTGGAGGGGCCGCGTCTTGGGCCCCGCCCACGTCTGCTGGGGCAGAATTTGGCTTTTACACAATCCACAGGGAACTCCCACGAGATTAACTTTGAGAAGGGCTGCCAGTGCATCCGGGCTTTGCGCTGTGCCTCTGAGTACTGAGTGTCAGCTTCCCCTGGTGGGGACTGAGGTCCTAGTGCCTCCCGCAGGGTGTGCACGGCACCCTCAGCGCTGCAGCCCAGACACTGTGGCTGTTAGTACTGAGTGGACACAGGGCTCTGTGCCAGCCACCCAATGGCCCCAGGTCGGCAATTAACAAAGGGCCCTCCTTGCCGAGGAAGCAAGCAGGAGAGACGGCTGCCTGCCCTGCCCGACTCGTGTCCGTCCCCAGGCCAGCGCCCCTCCCAGCAGGGCTGCCCCCACCAGCTCCCAAAACACACAGCCAGCTCCGGCTCCCCACCGAAATCAGAGCGTGAGGCCCCCTCTCTGTCCTAAACCTTAAGTCCTGTTTCTTAGCAATGATAAGAGGAGAGTTCTGAGACAGAGGGCAGAGGTGAGAGATGGGCGAGGTTAACCAGTAACAAGCTGCGGGCAGAAAAGATCTTAGGGCCGGTTTCCATTCTTGAACGGGTGTTAGCACCTCCAAGTCCTACGATGATCCCCTACCCCCAACGTCCAGCCCCAACCCATCCGCAGACACTGGCTTCTCCCTGCCGACAGCCCCCGAGCCCCAGCAGCCGTCGCAGGTTCAGCGTGGGTAACCTGCGACTTTGGGTCACTTCCCCAGGTTTTCACCACAAAGTGCACCTGCCGCAGGGAGCCGTGCGCTTTTCCCAGCTGCACCCGGGGCCCTGCAGGCCCTGACGGCACTCGTCTGGGACGCTTTGCTGCAACAGCGTCCAGGAAGCTGGAGACCCAAACGGTTCCCACGCACGTGGCTTTCTGCCCCAGAAAAGACACTGTGTTTTTGTTTTTTTTTTTTTCATAAAAGAAGAAACCCACGTTTGTCAGGGACAGTGACTCGGATTTTCAGCAGGCCCACAGGAAAACGCTCCTCCAACAGTCATGAAACTCTGACAAGACGGGCTGATTCTCGAACTCACCCTGTGCCCTGCTGTTAACCCGACACCGAGAGGCAGCCCGCTGCCTCCGCACCGTTTTCTCAGAAATCATTAATCAGAAACCATTCCCAAGTGTGGCGGACGCTGCACTTTTCCCGGACAAAGGCCGAGGCCTGTGTTCTGCCAACGATTGACAGAGCCACGGAGAAACGCACAGGTGCCGTGCTTATGGAGAACTGACTCGCGAGCGGGGAAGAACCACCTGCCAGACTGACCCCCATGCCCAGCCTGGCATGGAGCGCGCTCGGCACGTGAGCCTGTGTCCAGCAAGTACCTTCAAGGTCTCCTGGAAGGTGGGGTGCAGCGTGTTCTTCTGGACCCCAGTCTTGCGTTTCCCCTGGGAGGATCTGTCGGGCAGCAGGTAGGTCTTCACATACCTGGTAGCCAAGGGCAGAAAGGACAAAGTGAGAGCCTGGCAGGGGGCAACCGGCGTCAGGAGGACGAGAACCCACACCCAGCACCGCCCTTCCTCGGCTTCCTGCTGGGCCACCGTGACTGACACCAGCACCGTTAGTGCCACGTGTGCAGCTTCTGATTCACAGTCTTGGGCCCGATGTTGGCTCCATAATCTTCTAGAATATTCCTGAAGGTGGGACGCTCTCCCTACCTTCTCACACCCAACTCCTGGCATCTACAAGTGGTTATCCAGAAGTTCCTACAAAATGCCTATTATGGAAAAACTGTGCACAGATTTAGAAGGTCTTTTGTACCAAAACGAGCTTTTAAATGCATTCTTCCACTAACTCTTAAAAAATATTTGAGAGACAGCACGAAGCGTGACAATAAAATCCTGGCCCACGCACCTGTCCCCTGGCTTGGGAGATGACATTGGCAGTGACCTCCCCTCCCAGGCCTGCTCCTGCCCAGGTGGTCGCCAAACTCAGCTTCACCGTTATCGTCCCCATTTCACCACGCAACGTGTCTCCCCAAACAGTGGACCGTGCCCCGCCGTCTGTCTCAAGCTCTCGCATAAGCCGACGCGCTCTGTGCTCATTCTGCTGAGATGCGCTGTGCTCACGCAGTGCGAGGTCGGGGGTCTGTCTGCGCTGTTGTGTGCAGCCGCAGCTCACTCACTCACATCCCCTCAGGTCTCCATGGTGTGAATATCCCATAATCCACTTCTCCTCTTGATGGACACTTGTCTTCGTTTTTGCTACAGTTCAAGCCTCCCTAACCTGAAAAGCCACCACTTAGAATGCTCATCCCATCCAAGCGCTGGTTTGAGTCCCGGCTGCTCCACTTCCGATCCGGCTCCCTGCTAATGCACCTGGGAAAGCAGTGGAGGGTGGCCCAAGTATTTAGGCCTCTGCCACCCACATAGGGAACCCAGGTGGAGTTCCAGGCTCCTGGCTTGCGGCCATCTGGGGAGTGAACCAGTGGGTGGAAGGCTGACCTCTCTCCTTCTCCCTCTCTCAGTTATTCTACCTTTCACATAATAAATAAGTAAACCTTTTTAAGAAAAAAATTCAGGGGTCAGCAATGTGGTATAGCGAGTTAAGCTGCTGCCTGCAGGGCCAGCATCCCACAAACTCATGGGTTCGAGTCCCAGCTGCTCCATTTCCAATCCAGCTCCCTGCTAATGTGCCTGGGAAAGCAGAAGAAGATGGCCCACGTATCTTTTAAGAGATGTGTTTATTTCATCTAAATTGCTAAATGTATTGGGATACAAATTGGGACACAAATATGTGATATTCCCTTTTTGAGGGTACCTCAAAAAGTTCAAGGCAAATACATAGTATAAAAAACCATGCGTGCATTTTGAAAATGCCCCCCTGATTTATTTTTAATTTTTTCATTTAAACAGGAGAGCAGAAGAGAGAAGTTAAGAGAGAAAAAGATCTTTCATCTTCTGGTTCATTTCCCAAATGCCTGCAACAACTGTATCTGGGCCAGGCTGAAGCCAGCAGCCAGAGACTGATGTTTTTCCTTTTAGAGCATTTTTTTAAAAGATTTATTTATTTATTTGAAGGAAAGAGTTACAGAGAGGCAGAGGCACAGAGAAAAAGAGAGAGAGAGAGAGATATCGTCCACCCACTGGTTCACTCCCCAGATGGCTGCAACAGCCAGAGCTGGGCAGATCCAAAGCCAGGAGCTTCTTCCAGGTCTCCCACACAGGTGCAGGGGCCCAAGCACTTGGGCCATCTTCTACTGCTTTTCCAGGCCACAGCAGAGAGCTGGACCAGAAATAGAGCAGCTGGGAATTGAACCAGCACCCCAAGGGATGCCAGCACTATAGGTGGCAGCTTTACCTACTCCTCCACAGTGCCGGCCCCTTTGAGGGCGTGTTAAGGGACAGGTTAAAGAACTCATTTTTTTTTTTTTTTTTTTTTTGACAGGCAGAGTGGACAGTGAGAGAGAGAGATAGAGAGAAAGGTCTTCCTTTGCCGTTGGTTCACCCTCCAATGGCCGCCGCGGCCGGCGCGCTGCGGCCGGCGCACCGCGCTGATCCGATGGCAGGAGCCAGGTGCTTTTCCTGGTCTCCCATGGGGTGCAGGGCCCAAGCACCTGGGCCATCCTCCACTGCACTCCCTGGCCACAGCAGAGGGCTGGCCTGGAAGAGGGGCAACCGGGACAGCATCCGGCGCCCCGACTGGGACTAGAACCCGGTGTGCCGGCGCCGCTAGGCGGAGGATTAGCCTAGTGAGCCGTGGCGCCGGCCTAAAGAACTCATTTTAATCTCTTCCTCTCTCCTCTTCCTCCTTCCTCCACTTCTCTCTCTATATATTTTTCTAACATAAAAGAGGCCCAGGTGCTGAGTTGCCTCCCTCAAGCATGTGCAGACACAAGAAGACAGCCAGCTCTGAGCACCCCCCAAACTGGCTGGCACCTCGGCCTCGCACCTCCCCGCCCCCAGAGCCAGGAGACATAAGTGCCTGCTGTCGGCAAGCCGCCCAGTCTGCCAGAGCGGCCTGGTGCTGGGCCTTGAGCGCTCCAGTGGAAACTCCGGAGTTCATCCAGGCTCCTGACCCCGCCCTGGCCGCCTGTCTGCCCCACACCTGCAGAGTGGCCTGAATCACTGCACGATGGCTTGGTTTTCCGCGGACTTTCATGTTTCCACATACATTTTAGAATGAACACGTCTACCGTCTGTTAAAACGTAGAACACTTACGGATTGCACTTTTTCTTCTTTTCATCTCCGTAGGCAAGGTTCTTACAGGCCTTGATGTATATTTCTAAAGAGTGGGTGTTGGAGCAATACCGAATGGCAAATTCTATTTCTCCTGTGACATTGGCGTTGTCAAAATTACCCAGCTCGGTACATGTGCTATTAATGCTACTTAAACTCTCCTGAAATCAAGAACGACAGATACAATACATTATTTCACTGTCAACTGTTTTTTGCAGTTCTGGTTCCAAGATATCAAATAAATCAGAATTCACACACAACACACACCCTGCCTCATGTGAAGTTAATCATGCACCAGCTTGTACTTTGCCAAAGTCAGTGGCCACGTGTTCTGCCCTGAGAAGATACAGAATTCTCAGACGGGCCTGTGTTGCCCAGGCATGGCCTCTGCATAGCAATAAAAATCACACGATCTCATTCTTACACGGATATCTTGGGATGCAGTGGACTATCTCCCGTGCCATTCTGCAAAGATAGCTCTCGGGAGGGCAGATGGAACAGTGAGGTAGCATCAGCATGGTGTGGGCGAAGTGGCTGTGCCTGGGGCTCAGATACACCCAACTCCAGCGCCGGCTCTGCTACTCCCCAAGCTGTCAGCCTCCTCGGTTAGGGTGAGGGGCAGATGGGAGGAGGTATGCTAAAGTGTGCAGTCAATGGTCACAGTAAATTGTCTCTAAATTTGTGTGGGCGCACAAAATAAAACACAATGCTACCACCATAAGTTAGGGCAATCCAAGCTTAGACGACACAGATGAGCAGTACAGCATGCTTGTGCCTGGAGGGTTAACTGCCTTACCACTACTCAATTTGCTTGAAAAACTGCCGCTATTTGCATGTGACAGTCTCGTAACTGTGATTAACAAGGTCAAGGAAACAGATGAGGACATGGAGAACTTCCTTAGGGACTTAAATCCAGAAAAACAGAATCAAGTGAAAAGTAAGCCTACAAGGTAAGGTGACTCCACAAATTAATTTAATGTAGGATCAGACGTTCCTGAGAGGAGGACTGGGAACTGGAAGATGGGTCAGCAGAGAAAACCTAGAGTGGGGGAGGTGATGGAGCCGGAGGTGAGAACAGAGGCTGGACTTGGGATCTGACTTTACCGAAACAGAGAAGCCTGACCAGTATTCACGCCCAATTCCTAACTGGTTCCTCCAAGCTAAGCAGCATCCCAGGAAGAAACTAAGAGCAGAGAGGCAGAACCACCAGAGAGACAGAGAGAAACCAAACCAAACCGACCACTCATCGAAGGGATCAGAACCTGAGTTAACAATGCCAGGAATACAAACAGCTTCTCCACACCCAGCCGCTGGCTCTGAAAAAATGTACATTTGTAAAAACGCAGACATTTTAGATTTTTACATGCTCAGAAGTACTTGGGATGGAGAGACAGCATGAACAAGTCAGGTGCAGAAAGTGGCCATGGAAGGGAGTGGGTAGGGGAGGTGGGGGAAACACGCAGGCTGCTTGGGACAAGAACCACGGGGACACGTGGAGGAGCTAAAAGGTTCTCATCGCCAGGGGATCACAGCCGGCTGTGCGGGACACACTGTACTACCCCAGCTTTCCTGCCAAGGACAGTTAGAAAGCCGAACTAAACAGCCAGGCTCAAGACACTGTGGAGCCACCAACAGCCAGGATGCCCGGGGTGGAGCGCAGCACACGAGGCAAGCCTGAGTCTGAGCGTCGTTCACATCTAAGCAGCTCAGGCTGGAAGACCAAGAAGCCTAAGAGACACTGCCTGGAGAAGCAGAAGCTGAGCAAAATTTTTAGCAGTGTGACAGGGGAAGGGGGTGAAACTAGCACCCAAGGCTATGGAGGCATGCAGAACCAAGGACCTGAGCTCCCGGGAACAAGGGGAAACACACTGAAGTGGGAGCCACACGGACGCCGCCCCCCCCCACCCCGAGTCTCAGGCGATCCATGGAGAAGGGGCTTGGTAAGCGCGTAGACCTCCAGTGAGGTCCCCTCAAAGGCCTTCTCTCTAGGACTAAGGTCAGCCCAGCTTCGGCCATTGCAGCCGTCTGGGGAGTGAACCAGCGAATGGAAGACCTCTCTCTCCCTCTCTACCTCTCCCTGTAACTCTTCCAAATAAAATAAATCTTAGGAAAAAAAAAGGGGGGGGGGGCTGGCGCTGTGGCACAGTGGGTAGGTAAAGCAGCCGCCTGCAGTGCTGGCATCCTATACGGGCGCTGGTTTGAGACCTGGCTGCTCCACTTCCAATCCGGCTCTCTGCTATGGCCTGGGAAAGCAGTGAAAGATGGCCCAACTCCTTGGGCCCCTGCACCCACATGGGAGACCTGGAGGAAGCTCCTGGCTCCTGGCTTCGGATTGGTGCAGCTCTGGCCATTGCAGCCATCTGGGGAGTGAACCAGCGGAGGGAAGACCTCTCTCTCTCTCTTTGTCTCTACCTCTCTCTGTAACTCTTTCAAATAAGTAAAATAAATCTTAAAAAATAAATATTCCCATGATCAATGCAGATCAAGGATTCTCTTACAAACACTAGCCATAAGCAAGGACATAAGGCGAGTCTGAGTTGTTATGTGATTGCCTACACTACTGTATGAGAAGCCCTGGGCGTCGCACACGGTCCATGGGAAGATGAACCAATGGTGGCTGCACTACCATTTGCACAGGGGCACTGAGTTACACACCTCTGCGGGGAGACCAGGCTAACCCTGTCATCCCCACTACACAGATTACCCAGTGGGTCAAGTCCTTCTAGTTACTCATTTGAAAGCCAGAGTCACAGAGACAGAGAGATCTCCCATCTGCTGGTTCACTCCCCAAAATGGCCATGATGGCCAGGCCTGGGCCAGGCTGAAGCCAGGAGCCTGGAACTCCTTCCAGGTCTCCCACAGAGGTACTGGGGCCCAAGCACTCCGACCGTCTCCCACTGCTTTCCCAGGTGCATTGGCAGGGAGCTGGATCAGAAGTGGAGCATCCAGGACTCAAACCAGCATTCATATGGGATGCCAGCATTGCAGGTAGCAGTTTAGCCCGCAGAGCCACAACACCGGCCCCTGGCCGAGTCCCTCAAGTGAGGTTACCGAGGGTTAGGAGTCTCTAACTTCATTCTACTGCTCCTGTAAGTACAGGCAGCACAATTCACCGTGCCATAATTTTTACACAGGGCACATGTTAATAGAAAGACCTTCAAGTGTGTCCTGTATCCCTACACTTGATCTTAGCCAAGAGGCCGAGAAGTGATTTTTCCTGAGGACTTGGCACGAGCCAGGCACTGAGCTGGACGCTGGAGAGAGACCGTGGCGAGCAGAGGCCCACACAGTCCCTGCTCTCAGAGTCTCCCACGCACACACACAGCCTGATGGGAGACACCGATCTCACCAACACAAGAGCTCCGGCCAGAGAAGCGGGGACAGACACAAGGATAGCACCGTGTCTGCAAGCCACAGCACTGAGGCTGCGGAACGAGCAGCTGGGAGGACGGAGGTGGGAGAGCCAGCGGATGCGCCCACAGGCAGATCACCGGTGGACGGGCTGCCGTGTCAGCACGAGCAGAAGTCACAACTCTGAGCAGGGGATGGAAAAATGGTGGCTGGAGGGAGCTGGAAGTCGCTTGCGTGTGCTCCGTTTCATTTTTGGGAGAGACGGGGATGTGGCGAGGGCCCGTGGGCAGGGTCCAGGGGGGGTAGGTGTGCAAGAGCCAAGAGGAGCAGGGTATCAAGTGCAGAGCAGGCAGGCCCGGACGGCGGCCCCGCCGCGGGGGGAGCAGAACAGGCTGGGTAGTGGGGGTGAGGGAACGCACAGCCGACTCGCTCATATCTTTTCTCCTTAGAACAGTGGGAAGCGAGAGTGGTCACAGAAAGACTGGAAAAGGTGTGAAACGGTTATTGTGGGGGAACACGATGGAGTCGACCAAAAAAAAACCCAACAGAAGTGCCGGACAGTAGCAGGTGCGAGTGGAGACGGCGGCGACACGGCCGGGCAGCGTGGAGCCCCAGTGTGTGAGTGGGCCTCGCTCCTCAGGCATGCTTGTTAGGGGCAGGTACGAAGAAGGCGTCCAGCTGGGCCCATGCAGCCTGGGCCCGGAGCAGGACAGCATCCAGGAAGCACAGGGATGACTCACTCTCATTCTCCAAGTGGACAGACAGCGGTGAAGGCAAGCCGAGGCAGACATGGAGAGCGCTGGACGCGGGCCTGTGCTCCTGGGTCATCGGGCCTGAACGCAGGGCAGTGACTGTGTACTCGGCAGCCTGGGAGGATCCCCTCGGAGGGCCAAGGAGAGCTCGGCTCCTGCTTTGGTCGCCCATGTTCCTTCTCAGCTGACTGGGACTCTACCCCGGCGCCCTGCAGCACTTGCGGTTCTGCGTTCCCCGGAGCCAGAACCCAGCTGCCAGGCAGCCTGGGGACAGCCACCAGGGACTCAGCCTGGCCTCTGGCAGAGCTGCTGGCACTGGAGGAAAGCCAGGGTGCACCAGAGTGGAGGAGACCACCCAGGGCAGGCAGGGGATGTTTTACCACGGACTTTCTCTGCCCACTGTTCGGGGTGGGGGGAGGTCTTCAAAACCTTCATGGGAATGCAACCAGGGGCAGGCACTGTGCTGTAGCAGGTAAAGCTGTGGTCTGCAGCGCTGGTATTCCATCAGGTCACTGGTTCAAGTCCCCACTACTCCACTTATGACCCAGTTCCCTGCTAATGGCCTGGGAAAGCAGTGGAGCATGGCCCAAGTGGCTGGGCCCCTGCACCCATGTAGGAGACTCAGAAGAAGCTCCTGGCGCTGGCATGACCCAACCTCGGACGGTGTGGCTATTTGGGGAGTGAATCAGCGGATAGAAGATTCTCTAACTCTGCCTTTCAAATAAATAAAATAAATCTTTACAAAAAGAAAAAGGAAAAACCATGCACAGACCTCAAGATGGTTTTGCAGCAAAAGAAAGCTACCTTCTAAACCCACTTTTCCACAAATGATGTGAACTGCCCACGTGTGGAAAAATAAACGAGTCTTGGTTGCCAGGACATTACTGCAAAGTGGGGGGCGACGGCGGGGGGGGGGGGGGGGGGGCGGGGGACAGCCTTTCTGCTCCAAGTGCTTAGTGCTGTGGGCTTTCAGAGCGGTTTTCTTTTCTTTTCTTTTTTAAAGACTTATTTATTTATTTGAAAGGCAGAGTTACAGACAGGCAGAGGCAGAGAGAGAGAGAGAGGGAGAAGTCTTCCATCTGCTGGTTCACACTCCTAATGGCCACAATGGCCAGAGCTGGGCTGATCTGAAGCCAGGAGCTTCTCCCAGGTCTCCCACGTGGGTACAAGGGCCCAAGCACTTGGGCCACCTTCAGCTGCCTTCCCAGGCCACAGCAGGGAGCTGGATCAGAAGTGGAGCAGCCGGGACTCAAACAGGTGCCCATATGGAACGCCGGCACTGCAGACCAGGGCTTTAGCCCGCTGTGTCAGAGCCCTGTCTTACCAACCCCCTCCCATTCAGGTCTCTGAGCAGATGCAGTTTGAGGAGTTGTAGCACGTGAGTATGTCTGCTCCCACACAAGATACTGGTTAGTTTTGTCTGCTTTTGAAATTTATATAACTAGAATCACACTGTGCATGTGTATTCTCCGTACCTTACTTTCTGTCGACATCTTGGTTATTGCCAATTTTTTTCAAAATTTTATAAACAACACTGTACTGGACAGCTGTGTATATCCATTTTGAGTAGCATTCCTGATAATTTTTTTAAAAAGATTTATTTTACTTATTTGAAAGACAAAGTTATAGAGAGAGGTAGAGACACAGAGAGAGAGAGAGGTCTTCCATCTGCTGGTTCACTCCCCAATTGGCTGCAATTGCCGGAGCTGAGCTGATCCAAAGCCAGGAGCCAGGAGCTTCTTCCGGGTCTCCCACATGGGTGCAGGGGCCCAAGGACTTGGGCCATCTTCTACTGCTTTCCCAGGTGCTTTGGTAGGGAGCTGGATGGGAAGTGGAGCAGCCGGGACTTGAACCAGCACCCATATGGGATGCCAGCACTGCAGGCTGGGGCTTTAACCCACTGTGCCACAGCGCCAACCGCTCCTGATAATTTTTTAAGAGTATGAGTGTTTCCTGTAGCTGAACTTGTTGGGTTTAAGAGAAGAGGCCTTTCAAAGGCTTTTGCGGTATTTTGCTAACTGCCCTCACAGACGTGGCAACGTCCCAGCACCTCCTAAGCGCACCTGCAGCCCTGCACCCCTGCCAGCCCGGAGCGAGACCACTTCTACGCTCACTGAAGTAGGCCCAAAACAGCACGTGCTTTGATTTTGCTCTGATGAGCACGTGGGAGGTTGAACAGCTTCCATGTTTATTGCCCGTTTATACTTTTGTAATAAGTGGAGATTTAGTAAGCTTTTCCAGCCCGACTCAGAGTGTAAATACATCTCACAGGGAAGGCGGCATTCAGAACCAGAAACAATAACCAGTTACCCGCCTTCTGGGACTCTGGTTTCCAGGCTTCGGTCTACGTGGAACAAGACACAGTTAAGTGCACATCAGCTCAATCTCGTGATGATGTAAGGTTTAAGGGCACAGGTCAGAGAGAACTTCGGAAGAACAGATGAGACCAGTGGGCGCTGAGATGGACAGGGACAGCGCTTAGAAGCAGAGACGGACAGAGGAGCGCTTGCAGCCCCCTTCCCCTGCACCCTGGCCCCTAACTCCTGACGGCGTCTGAGGTTTGGAGCAGCACCAAGTGGGTGACGCTGGGAGAGGGGTGTGAGTCAGGGAAGCCACTCATTGGTCAACGCACACTGTGGGCAGTGAGGCCCAGGGCCCCTGGCTCGAGTCAGAGAGCTGTGGTCCCAGATGACCTCAGCAAGTCCTTGACCCCGAGCAGCCCAGGCCCCTCTGCTGGGAAGTGGGAAATAGCACCCAGCAAAGCAAGACCTTCCCGGGCAGGGATGACCCAGCCATCCCAGGAGTCTTCACTGCCGGCCATGTAAGTGTCAGTCACTGCTCAAGGCACCAGGGACTGCATTCCAGTGGGGAGGGGCTTATCAACAGATAAGCCAATTACACAGTGGAGACGGTGATAAGAATGGGGATAAACACAGAGCCAAGATAGAGAACAGGACAGGGGCTCCTCCCCTGCAAGGTGACCTTGGAGCTAAGCCCTCATGGGAGTGGCTTGGTCAGGTCTGCTATGTCCCGGCTGAGTGGAGGGAGCAAGGGGGGAAGGGAGAGGCAGTGGGGTCAGGGCAGGATAGGGCAGGCTGGACGGGACCCTAGGGACTACAGAGGGGGCGCCCTCGCCCGACTACTTGCCTACAAAGGAGTGATTCTGGACCTTGAAGGCCTGCCAGGTGCACTCTGGCAGAAACGCTGACAAGTTCAGGGGAAAAGTGCCCGTTGGCCTCATTCTCCCAGGTCAACCTCGCAGGGCTCAGACTGCGAGTCTTCCCGTCACCTGCGGAGGGGGCAAACTTTTGGATGAGTCTCAGAAAAGCCTGCCAGAGGCCACGACGTGCACCTGTTTGGGGCTGTCACAGACCTGTTGGAGAACTGGGTGAAAACTGGAACATTCTTTGCAGGAAGTGCAGAGGGACGTGCCCACAACATTTTTGGATGCTGCCCCCAGAGAATTCAGAGAAAAGAGCTCCTGCTCTGGGCATTACTTGGTGCACAAAATAGAGTCCAGACCAACACTGTCCAGCAGAAATGGAATGTGAGCAAAATATGTACTTGAACTTGAAAATACTCCAGGGGCCGGCATTGTGGCGCAGTGGGTTGGGTCACCCCTGCAACACCAGCACCCCACAGGAGCACCAGGTCCAGTCCTGGCTGCTCCACTTCCATCCGGCTCCCTGCTAATGCACCTGGGAAAGCAGCAGAGGGTCACACAAATACTTGAGTCCCTGCCACCCACATGGGAGACCAGGCTGGAGATCCAGGCTCCTGGCTTTGGCCTGGCCAGCCCTGGCTGTTGCAGCCATTTGGGCGTGAACCAGGAGATGGAAGATCTCTCTCTGTCTCTCCCTGTCTCTAACTTTTCACTTTCAAATAAATAAATCTTTAAAAAGAAAGGAAGAAAGAAAACGCTCCAGCAGCTACACTGAGAAATAGATGGCACTAATTTTCATCACTATCTTATGAATTCAAAGTACTGTCATCAGCATGTGTCTATCTAAAAATGATTACTGAGGCATTTACATGTTTTTCACACTAGTCTTCAAAACCCAGTATGGGGGCCGGTGCACGTGGCGCAGGTTAATCCTCTGCCTGCGGCACCGGCATCCCATATGGGCGCCGGTTCTATCTAGTCCCTACTGCTCCTCTTCCAATCCAGCTCTCTGCTGTGGCCTGGGAAAGCAGTAGAAGATGGCCCAAGTCCTTAGGCCCCTGCACTCATGTAGGAGACCTGGAAGAAGCTCCTGGCTCCTGGCTTCAGATTGGCACAGCTCTGGCCGTTGCAGCAGATGGAAGACCTCTCTCCCTCCCTCCCTCCCTCCCTTCCTTTCTTCCTCCCTCCCTCTTTCTCTCTCTCTCTCTGTCTCTCCTCTTTCTGTGTAACTCTGACTTTCAAATAAATAAATAAATCTTAAAAAAAAAAAAAAGAAAGTGCCAGGGCTTCACTAGTGCCTCCCAAACTGGGCTGTGCGATGTCTCTGGGCTTTCGGTGAGTTAAGCACGCCGACTGAGTGGGACTGGAGTAGGGCCCAGGTCCCGTGCTTCTCACGAGCCCCCAGGCGAGGCCAATGCTGCTGAGCCCCACACTGTGAGGGGTGGAGGTGACAGGACAGGGGAAGGGGCAGGCGGGGGGCCCAGTGTGGAGTGGGTCGAGGTGCGCCCTCCTGCAGCGCAGGGTCTGACCCGCTCTGGACAGTCGTGGAGAGGGTGGCGTGTGCACTTCTCTGAGCACAACACCACTTCACTAAGAACACAAGAACCCAAGGGCATCGGCTGCTGGAAGAACCTGTCCTGGGTCACGCTCTGCCACTGAAGCAGCTGGAACCTGGGCCAGAAGTCAGTTTCTAGAAGTGTCTGAACATTATGTCACTCCATGCAAGTTGTGCATTGACTTCACTCTCAAAGCAACAAGGGAAGCAGAGGAACTCTGAAACGCATGTCCCTGGTGAGGACTCGAGTTGAGAGAGGTCTGGCGGTTGTCTAAGGTCTTGTAACATGGGAGAGACATCAGACGATGGAGGCCTCGTACCCCTTATCCAGGGCTCTCTCTACTGTATCACGGTATCACCACGTATCACAGACACCACGTATCACACTCCTAGGCGTTCAATTAAGTTTTAAATAAATTAATAAGTAAAAAAAAAAAAAGCCTGCCTATAAACAGAAACTACCCTTAAGATATCACAAAACAATCTTCATAAGGAAAGACCGAGTTGCAAGTCTGACATAATCCAACCTCAAGGCTCCCTGCAAAGCTACAGCAATCGAGGCTGGGTGCTCCTGGCCAAATGACAGCGAGGTCAGTGGAACAGAAGAGGGGCCCAGGAACGGACTTCCGCATCCATGTGAGTTCCAACAAGGACCGCAACGGCGCCAGGGGAAATGAAAGTCCTTTCTAATGGATGGTTCCAGGAACGAAACATTCATACAGAAAGAAATTAGCCTGCATGTCCACCATTCACCAAACACTGAATGGGCTGGGACGCAGACCTAAGTAGAAGAGCTGCCTTTTTGAAGGTTCTCAGTGGAACTGCAGGATATCCTCACTGCTAGTGGTTAGACAAGACAGAAACAACCACGAGAGAGGAACCTGACGAGTCAGACTTCATCCACGTGAGAAGCTTCTCAGTGAAAGACATCGTTAGCTTCTATGACTCTGTACACATGGCGATGTTCACAGGGGATGTAAAAAACAAAAACCACGCTCCCAGTACAGCAAGGTCTCCCCAGCTCCCAACCAAAGGAGAATGCTCCTTCCAATCTCTGTGGTTCTGGGCCGGCTTATCCCAGAAGACAACAGCTCTAACGCCGTGATAGCCACACGTTGTGGGCCCGGGGGGTGGGGACAGACTCACGTGTCTCAGGCCTCCAGAGAATAAAGTGCTGGCCGAGGGCCTGGGCGAGAGGTCCTCTTGCTTGAAGACAGGGCTAGTGGAGCCTTTGGGGTTTTCCTGACAGAGAGGTCTCAGGACATCTGGAGCTCTGGCTTTCTGGAGAAGGGAAAACATGGTCATCAGCCTCCTAGTCTCTGTTCAAAGCTGGCGCCTTCAGCAGGCCTGGCCAGCGTCTCACGTGCTGCAGAGGGGCCGGCCGCCCCAAGGTTTGAGGAAGGCACCTTTCACTCCCCCACCCCCCTACTTCATCAGAATGCACTAATAACCAATAATGAACGAGTTACACCCTGACGGACACCATGGAAATGGGGGCAGCAGCCAAGCCTACTGGGAAGAGGTGAGAGAGACTTCACTCAGAGTAAGGACACCTGGGGATGAGGTCTGAGTGGGGCGTCGAAGGGGGCTGGGAAAGACCAAAAGGTCAGGCGTCCCAGGGGAGGGGACGTCCCCATAGCTACAGACCCGCGAGCGCCAGGCAGAGACCTAGACACAGACATCGCAACACACAGCGACTGGGGTTGGTGGGCAGAGAAGCATCAACCAAAGCCACAGGGAAGGAGGCAGAGGGCCGTGGGAGCCAGCAGGTGCAGCGGGAGGAATGCAAGAACAAGAGGAGGAAAGCGTGCCTGAAATGAGGAAATGTGAGTTTTCACCAATTGCCTATCAAACTGGCAAATGCTAGAATAAAAGAAATACTTAGTTTTACAAGATAAACATGGTTCTGGAGATGAATGTTGATGAGGGCTGCAGGCTGTATTTACCTGCCATGCCACAGCGCGGGCCCCTCTACCGGTGTATTTCATGCTACTAATCTGCACGTCTAAAAACAGCCACGACCATAAGTTTTCTGTGTGTTTCACCACAATGAAAAATCGGGGGGAGAAAGGCATAAGCTTGAACATAGACAAGAGTCTGGAAAATGGGCCCAACGGAGTCTCCCCCAGAACAGGGCAATCGGGCGGGGCGCACTAACCACAAGGCCTGACGGAAGTGACAACACAAGTGCAGGTGTCACGGGGCAGCAGCCCAAGCCACCGCCTGGGATGCCGCACCGCCTACTGGAGCGCTGGTCTCCGGCCCTGCTACTCCACTTCCGATCCAGCTTCCTGCCAGTGCATCCCGGGAGGCAGCAGACGATGGCTCAAGTGCCTGGGCCCCTGCCACTCACGTGGGAGACCAGGAAAGCAGCTTGCCAAGGAATCCCTCCAAGGCTGCTGTGTGTCCCTCTAGGGTGGCGAGCGCGGGGTGTGTTTACGTGGGGAGAAGGGACGAGATCAAGGTCACATGAGTGGGGCGAGGCTCTGGAGGAGTGGTGAGCAGTGGGGGGGGACCCACGAAGGGTGCCCTGGACCAGGAGAACCACGTGCAGGAATTGGAGAGGTGCCAGTGGGGCGGGGGCGGCACGGGTCCTCCCGTGAGGGTACGTGGAAGGTTCTGAGCAGTGACCTTGATCTGCAAACAGGGCAGGCAGAACAGGACGGAGCCTTGAGTTCCTGCAAAGCCGCCTACCTCCTCAGTGGTTACCATGGTGATCCTGCACCCCCAGACTCCTAGGTTGAAGCCCTAACTCCCCAACTGGATGGGATTTGGAGGCGGGGCTTTGGGAGGCAATGGGTTGGAGGAAGTCGACCCAGCAGGAAGAGCGGCCTCACCAGGACCCTGGCTCAGACCTCAGCCCCCACCCAGGACTGTGAGAAAACGAACAGCTGTGCTCAGGCCCCCGACCCGCGCTGTGTTGTTAGGGCAGCCTGAGCTAACAGTGTTGAGATACCTGTTTCTTTTTATCATAAAAAAAAATCAATGACAAAAAGTTCCTAAAAGGAACAGAGATTGCACGGCCCAGCAAACTCACAGCTGGGCAGGTCCCGCTCCTCCCGCGGCAGGAGCCCGGAAGGCTTTGAAGGAACCTTCGACGCAAGAACAAGCTTGTCGCCCTGACGGGGGACGTGCTCGCTGAGGGACGCGCCTCTTTGGGTCAGCGCAGGTGTCCTGGAGATTCCGTGCCCCCAGGTCGCCCAGCACAGGCTGAAGGCATGGGGGTGCCGTGGTCTGCCCCTCTCCAAGGGCGTCCAAACCCTCACTGCTCCTCTGTGTCCTGCAGACGAACTTTTTTTTTTCCCATGTGAGTTTTAAATTCGTTTTAATTAACTCTCTCACTGTGGCCAGACACAGAGGCAAAACACTTGCTCTGAACGAGGCCTTTATCACTGCAGAGTCAGGCGCTGAACATCACAGAGGCTACACCAGCAGAGGGTAGGTTTCACCTGATGGAATATGGACCTCTGGAACCTGTGTGCGCATTTGAGGTTTTCGCTGACATCAGCTGTGTGTGCAAGGACACGAGAGGAGGAAGAGCAGCCGTCCCCGCCTCACCTGCTCAGTACAGAGAGAGACTCCAGGCTTGGCCAAGAGCATGGGCTCAGAGCAATGGAAAATTCCCCTGGCCACGTCTCCTGGGACCATGGAGGACTCTGCCCTTGAACCTGAGGGTGAATGGTAGCCGGATGAGAAGCACTACTGCTCCTCCCTCTCCCACTTTTTATCTCCTTGCTCAGCCTGTAGGTGAGCAGGCAGGCAGGGAGAGAGGGGCTGGGAGGCCCAGCCCTGCGGTCAGTCCTGTCTTGAGGTTCCAGGTTTCCACGGGGAAAGCTTCACATGGGATGAAGAAGAAAGAATGAAATGAAGCCCCCCGCCTACACCTGTGGCCTCCGTCTGCGTCCCCAGAGATGGCCCCCAGCAGCTTTCTCTGCGTCTTCCTGCTTAGCAGGTGCATGGCTTTCCGGGCAGCGTCCATGAACCATGGTCACAATGTGTACACAATACATATTGTGTACCCCACTGGGGTGCCCACGGCAGAGAGGTAAGAAGGACCCACCGCTCGAAGAAGCCTGGCCCTGATGCTTGTGTGAGGGCTATTTTCAGAGGGTGGAGTTCAGACTTCAGGGTCAGAGAAGTGACCTGGAAGAGATCCCGACCGCCTGCTCTGCGGACATCCCGGAGTGGCCAGGGGCTCCGTCCAGGGCAGTTATCTGTGACTTCTCAATGCTGCCACCTGCGAGGTGGGCACTGTCAGCCCCTCCCTCCAGAGGGCATTGCCTCGTCTAATTGGTGCTGGCAAGGTGCCCCGGCGGCTCCACAAAGATGAGTGGGATTCCTGGGAGCCCAGCAGCAGTCTGATGGTGTCCTGTTTTTTGTTGTTGTTGTTGTTGACAGGCAGAATGGACAGTGAGAGAGAAAGAGCAGACAGAAAGGTCTTCCTTTGCCGTTGGTTCACCCTCCAATGGCCGCCACGGCCAGCGCGCTGTGGCCGGCGCACCACACTGATCCAATGGCAGGAGCCAGGTGCTTTTCCTGGTCTCCCATGGGGTGCAGGGCCCAAGCACCTGGGCCATCCTCCACTGTACTCCCGGGCCACAGCAGAGAGCTGGCCTGGAAGAGGGGCAACCAGGACAGAATCCGGTGCCCCGACCGGGACTAGAACCCGGTGTGCCGGCGCCGCAAGGTGGAGGATTAGCCTAGTGAGCCACGGCGCCGGCTGATGGTGTCCTGTTTAACACACCCTTGGCATTTACAGGTCACACCTGACTGCCGAGTATGTTATAACAGCCAAATCCTCAATGTGGGGGGACAGAGAGGGTCTGTGCGAGAACACGGCAGTGCGGTGGACACACACACAACACACATGGTCTCCCCAGCGAGGGCCACCTCCTTGTTCTGTCCCTGGACTCCCCGAGCCCGTCAGACAACCTCACCAACTGCCTGGCAGGCTCCGCCCACCAGCAATGAGCAGCCAGGGCAGCGTGCGCAGGGGTGCCACGCCGCATCACCGTCCAGGGTGCCGAAAGCTAAGCCTGCGGCTCCTTGGGACGGCCCACACAGGTGGGAAATGCGTGCCTCACAGCAGGGGGCCGTGGGGGAGCTCCGGGGCAGGCTCGACCTGGCCCTACCCTTCTGACCACACTGCCCCTTGGCCAGCTCTGTGCCCCTCTGTCTTCCTTTTTAGTGGGGGCAGCAGTACTGTGACCTTCACAAGACTGCTTTCAGGATGGAGAGGGCCAAGTGCCCCAGGGAGTCTGACAGCGACCACAGCGGCTGCACAGTGTCCGCGCTTAGTGCTGGTGCCCGAGTGGCTTCACCTGACCCAGGTGAGGAAGAGACTCACCAGCATGTCCAGAACCCCCCCCCCCCCCCGCCAGCCCCTCTTCCTCTTCTGTTCTCACGTGGAGCACGGAACGAAGCGCGGAAGAGTGGAGAATCCAGAAGCATGCAAACTGGGCCCTGCCAGGCTCTGACTCCTCCTAGCTGTGCACCATCAGGCCATCTGGTAAACCACTCACTGCACTCAGGCTCTGGATTGGATCAGGGGAGTGACAACGTCTTTCCCAGTGTCATTTTTAAGAACTAAATGTGGGCCGGCGCCGCGGCTCACTAGGCTAATCCTCCGCCTTGCGGCGCCGGCACACCAGGTTCTAGTCCCGGTCGGGGCGCCGGATTCTATCCCGGTTGCCCCTCTTCCAGGCCAGCTCTCTGCTGTGGCCAGGGAGTGCAGTGGAGGATGGCCCAAGTGCTTGGGCCCTGCACCCGCATGGGAGACCAGGAGAAGCACCTGGCTCCTGGCTTTGGATCAGCGTGGTGCGCCAGTCGCGACGGCCATTGGAGGGTGCTCTAATGGCAAAGGAAGACCTTTCTCTCTGGCTCTCTCTGTGTCCACTCTGCCTGTCAAAAAAAGAACTAAATGTGGGGGCTGGTGAGGTGGTATAGTGGGTCAAACCGCAGCCTGCAACACTGGCATTCACTATGGGCATCGGCTTCCTGTCTCGGCTACTCCACGTCCAATCCAATTTCCTGCTAATGGCCTGGGAAAGCAGCAGAAGATGGCCCAAGTGCTTGGACCCGGCCTGGCCCTGGCTGCTGCAGTCATTTTGGGAGTGAACCATTGAATGGAAAATCGTGTGTACTCATATTTTAAAAAATGTGATAAAACAAGTTTTAACAAGTGCTGTCACCGTGCCCAGAACACAAACACACCGTAAACGGATGCTGCTTTGGCTCGGCTGTAGTTCGAGCGCATGCCCAAGGGTCCTCAGTGGCAACGGAGCCCCCACTGTGGGGAATTAAGAGGGCAGAAACTTCACCAGACCGTGATGCTTAGAGGTGGCGCTTTTATGGGGTTGTTAGGGCCGGAGGAGCTCGTCCCAGTGCCAGAGCTGAAAAGCGCAGGTTCCTAAGAGGGAGGCCAAAGATTCAGTGGACTGCAGGAGCCTCCTGCCTCTGCCACCTGACGTCCTGCCCCGCCCCGGACTCGGCAGAGGTGCCCCTCCACTCTGGATCAGAACCCTGGGCCAAAATAGACCTCCTGGCATCGTGAGGCTCCCTGGCTTCGAGGATTGCATCACGGGCGTGCAGAGCAGATTTCACAGCAGGTGCTAACCTTGCCTCCATCTGGCACCTGAAGGAAGGAGTGGATTCCAGCGCAGCGACAGAAGCCAGCACAGCCTTACACTGTCTGCGCTGTAGGACTTCAAACACCTGCCAAAAATGTGTTTCAAACCCTCGAGACACCTTGCGCGGAGGTGTGGCTGGGTGCCAGCAGCATCGGCATCACCTGGCCCCCGGGAGGGACTGGAAACGCATCTGAGGTTCGGTGCCTCGAGCCCAGTCCAGCCCAGCCCCACAGGTGTGGAACCTGCATTTCAGCAGGAGCCAGACAACCCACACAGGAAAGCTGAGTCAGGCTGCCCCAGAGACAGGAGGCAGCCAAGCCGGGGCTGTGCGCCCCCAGCCCCCCACGTTCTGGCCATGGACTTAATCTCTGGAGGCCTCAGTTTCCCTGAACATAAAATGGGGCTACGGGTGCTGCAGTGCCTCCCTCCCAGGGGCGGCCATGAGGGCAGAGTGAGATAGTCCCGACACTGCTGCTGACACTTCCTAGCAAACGCAGGCCATGCAAAGGCTGCATTCGGATGGGCTATGCTCTCACTGATGTCTACAAGAGCCTTGTGCTGGGGGCAGGGCGGGGATTATCAAGGTCTTCATTTTGCAAAGGGGCATGGTCGCCCTGGGCTCGTGGGCAGGGCAGCAGCAGGAGGCACCAGCTGGACAGCGGGGCTGGCTCACGGCCCAGCCTCAAGGACAGTCTGCCTGGGGATGTCCTGAGTGGAGCCCACAGCCGCAGAGAGGGGCACCTGTCCTGTCCTGTCCTGTCCAGGTCTGCAAACAGCAGGTGCAGGCGCCTGTACAGCCAGGTCACCTTGGCTGCACTGGCCTGGTCTTGCGATCCTGGTGTCGGGTCCCTGTGCACCTGCCTCGGGCCTGGCTAATCCGTGGAGAGCGGAGTGATCACTGCTCTGAAAGCCTTCCGTAAGCAAGCGCTCTCGCGTGGTGTAGGGGCCTGGGGACACAGCCACCTCCTGCTCGCACAGGACTATGCTGCATTTATATTCCCGAAGCGGCCATCAGAGACCAGGACCAAGGCTGGCTGGTCCCGAACGGGCGGAGGAAAGCCGCTGGCTCCTCAGTGGGTGGTGCTCAGAGCCCAGGGAAAGCAGGCCTCTGCCTTTGTGTGGCCACGGAGCTGCTCAGCACACAGACACACCAGGTGTAGGTTTCCCTGCTGGGAATGGCTTCCAGGGTGACCTTGAAGTCCGACCTCCCTGCAGCCAGCCCTGCCCAGAGAGGCTGTCGATTCTGTTTTTCTAGCTGCTCACTGTTCTGCTCTCAAAGGACAAGCAAATGGACAGAGAAAGCAGCAAATCCCCGAAAAGACAGCGGGAAGGTGGCAGGCGCAGTGGGCCGGGGTACCCTGTTGGTGACGTTGACGGCGGTGTCCGACTGGCTGCGTCTCTCCGTGCGGCTGGTACACTGCCGGGGGTCCGTGGCCAGGAGGTGCTTCTCAGAAGTCACGTCGTTCTGGGACTTGGAGAGCTCTGGAAGACAAAGGGTGGTGACCGGGGGCACTGCAGGCCCTGCCCGGCCCCCTGCACCCAGGTCCAAGGGGGGCAAAGTTGTGGGAGGGGCAAGGGCAGCGTGGAGGCGCCAGGACCAAGACCACAGGAGAAGGGTTGGGTTCCTCCGAGGCCCCGCTGTGGTCACACGGGGTTCACAGCTCCGCGGGTGGGAGCTGACGGGAAAGTTCCTGCCCCGTGTCCCTCTGGCTGACATCATCCACGTGAGCCTGCGTGCCTCCCAACACCAAGACAGCGCGTACCCAACAAGCCAGGTTTGCTTTTTGTTTTTTTGTTTTTTTTTTTTTTTAGGAATTCCTTACAAAAATGTTATGCCTAAATTCAATTTCTTGGGACTTTTCGAAGTGAGGTGAAAATAAGATTCATGGAGCCGATGTTGGGGTGCAGCAAGTTAGGCCACGCTAGCAATGCCAGCACCCCACGTGAGCGCTGGTTTAAGTCCTGCCTGCTCCCACCGTGGGAGGCCCAGGTAGAACTCCACACTCCTGGCTTCAGCCCGGCCAGCCCTGGCCACTGCACTCACTTGGGGGATCAGCCAGCAGACAGAAGATCTCTCTCTCTCTCTCTCAACTCTGCCTTTCAACAAAATAATACATCTTTTTGTTAAAAAAAGAAACCCTCACCTCTCCCAGATTAAAGCGCCCCTAGGAGCTCTGCCCAGGAGAGAGAGCGTTTGCATCACATAATTTCGAGTTTTCTGGCAGCCACATTGAAAAAGTGAAAAGAGGGGCCGGTGTTGTGCACGCCACCTGCAATGCTGGCATCCCGTGCACACCGGTTTCCTGGCTACTCTGCCTGATGGAGCCCCTGCTAATGTACCCAGGAAAGCAGCAGAAGGCGGCTGGGCCCCCTGCCACGAAGGGTTTTCTCACACCCCGTGTATGAAAGCTGGCGCGTCCTCCCCTCTGGGCCACACCTCCAGCCGTACGGTAGGGGCTGGGCAGTGCCGTGTGGTCAGGGGCCACCTTCAGGGACCACAGAGCTCCACAGAGTCCTCAGGGGTGACCGCTCACTGAGGGGTCCTTGCGGGAACCCTGCACTCCTGGCCACAGTGCCCTGTCTTTTCTGCCTAGGGAGACCCCCTTGGCAGTCCCCCAATCCGCTGGCATCGGCCTTCCCCCCTGGGAGGGCTCTGAGGCCCTGCCCTCCGTGCTGTCTAGCCCACCACCCAGAAGCATGGGCATTGTCTATGCCTGGCACCCAGAGGGACCAGCACAACCCAGCCCTCAGCGACCCCCGACCTCCGCTCAGGTGTGAAAGGCTGTGACTTCTAAGCTCGTGGGGGCACCACTCCCCCAGTACCCTCCCAAAGCCTGTATCTACTTGACCCATTTGAAGTTCATGGCCTAGGGGCAGGGGCTGGGGTGGGGGGCTTCCTGAGCTAACGAGCAGGCTCCTGGGAGGACTTCAGGAAGTTCATGGAACTTAGAGACGTTTATTTTGGTGCAAAAATGTTTGAAATCTATGAGTGGCTTTTTCGTAGTATGCATCGTCTGTGGACTTTGTGGCAGCCCCCCCTGCCTGTATTAGGGGGAAAGGGAAGGGGACGAGAAGGAACACGGGTTACCCCGAGACCCAGTGTCCTCATTCCCTCCTTCCCATCTCAGGGTGACTATCACGCTGGAACCTAGAAATTACTGGTAATTAAAAGGGCTGGAAGAACCCGTCTCTCCGGCTGGCCTGACCTCACTGCACAGCCCCCAGCACCTGGAGGTTGTCACACGGGGTCAGCTTCCTAAAACCCGCCTGGCCAAGGCCTCCTCTCCAGCTTCTGGGCCACTGGACCCGGAAGAGTCTGGGGCCCTAACAGCCCCTCCCACGGCTCCCCTAATGCCAATCTTCCCCCCCCCCATCAGTGTGAGGCTTTCTTTTGTACCCACATCTGCAGGGTAACAGGCAGCAAGAAAAGTCAGGAATCACCCCAAACCCAGAGACAGATGACTCGGTGCCTACAGGATGCCTCTGGAGGACGCGGGGTGAAGCACCTGTGCAGCCACCACTGGCACCTTCCCCGTGGAACCAGCAGGAGCACTCGGCAAAGATCTCAGGCACACGGTCATTACCAGGACTCCAGACGGCTGGGTGCTGGTAGCCCCACCTCTAGGCCAAGGACAAGTGGGAACACAGGTCCTACTGCAGCAGCCAACGTCCCACATCTGAGAAGGGACAGTGTTCTGCTGTCACCAGTCCCCAGGGCTTAGCGCCCCTTGTCCACTTGGGTATGAAACCAGCAAGCCTCAGGCACACGAGCAGGTGCACAGGCGAGGCTGAGTGTGGCCTTAAATAACTGGAAGCTCGTCAGGTGCGCCAGCTGCCAGTGCAGGGTGCAGCCCACAGGCCTCCAGGACAGGGCCCGTCTCTGGGTGGCCCACGGCCGAGGCACTGATTCCGCAGCAGCCAGAACAGGATGGAATTCACACAACCTGCACAGACTGGGGAGGGGCTGCGTGTGCTGAAAGAACAGAGACCATCAACGGGAGAAAAACCCAGATGCAGAGCGTACAAGCAGCTGGCACGGTCAGGGCACCCTGGCCAGGCTGACGGCCACTGCGGGGGCACTGACGAGCGCCTGGCAGGGGACTTTAACCATTTTTAACCATTTATTTGATAGGCAGAGGGACATAAACAGAGAGGGAGAAACAGAAAAAGAGAGTGAGCGCTTCCATCCACTGGTTCACTCCCCAGATGGGCCAGGCTGAAGCTAGCAGCCGGGTATTCCATCCTGGCCTCCCACAGGGGTGGTAGGGCACCGAGCACTTGGGCCATCATCCGCTGCTTTCCCGGGTGCACTAGCACGAATCTGGATCGGAAGTAGAGTCGCCAAGACTTGAACTGGCGCTCTGGTGCGGGATGCCAGCATCGCAGGCAGCAGCCTAGCCCGCTGTGCCACAAGGACAGCCCCTGGCAGGCAGATTTTTAAGCCCCTGAGCTCTGTGAGCAAAAAGGCCCCTAACACCCAGCTATTTCCCCTCCTGAAAGAGAAGGGAGCAGACCCCCATGTGACACAGTCATCGGCTGAGGTTTCCATTGTCATCGTGTGACAGCTTAGACAGAGCTTGTGGGGAACGCAGGCGAATAATGAAAATCAAACAAGATCATCTCAGAGCCAAGCTGCGCCAGTGCGACCATGCCCAGACCACCGCAGAAAAGGATGATGGGTAGAAACTGAACAGAACCCCGGGGGAGGGGGCAGCATGTGCTGTGGTGCAGCGGGATAAGCCGCTGCTCAGGACGCCCACACCCCACTTCTCCAGCCTCCCACTGAGGGACCCAGGAGGGAGTAAATGATGGCTCAAGTACTCGGACCCCTGCCATCCATGCAGGAGACCCGGATGGAGCTCCTGGCTCCTGGTGTGAGCCTGGCCCAGCCCTGGCCATTGCGGTTACTTGGGGAGTGAACCAGCAGATGAAAGAGTTCAGTCTCTCCCTCTCTCTGCCGCTTTGCTTTCCAAAGAATAAGTCTTTACAAAAAAAAAAAAAAAAAAAAGAAAGAAAGAAAAAAAAAGAAATGCGGGGACCCCTGAGCCAGCCTCAGGAGGCACGGGATGGGCTCCACCCTGCCGTGGGGGTCCTAGGATACACCAACCCCTCTGCCTGCAGCTCTGAGCCAGGCAGGCCTGGGCAGGAGCAGGAGGGGGCCGCGCCAGCACAGAGGACTGAAACGGCGTCCCCTCACGCCACAAGGAACAGAGGCCTGCTCTGTGGGGGAGGAGACGGAGGGCTGGGCGGCATGGCTGTTCTCTGGGTCTGGGGGCAGTGCCAGCCAAGGTCTCCAGGGCAGGGGGAGAACACAAGAAGAGGCATCCACTTACTTTTCATGCGGGTGGTAACAGACAGAAACAGATTTTCCACGGACTTATTAAATCCTTTAAACTGACCAAGTTCCTGTAACTAAAACACAGACAGGAGAGAGAGTTACGCTTGACTGACTTCTATTTGCCCTGCAGTTTGCAGGCTGCCAGCCCCCAAACGCTGCCAGGTGTGTGTATGTGGGTACGTGCAGGTGTGGGCTGCATGAGGGCGAGGACGTGGGTGTGGGTGTGGGCGAGGGCGAGGGCGTGGGCACGGGTGTGCGTGTCTGGGCAGAGAGGGCACAGTGCGCCCAGAGCTAGTGTCCTCTTCACTCAGCATTTCTCCTCTGTATTTTGACCTCCTCATTAAAGGACAAGATGACAACGACCTCTTTTGATTGATGACTGACATTTCATTGGCTCCAAGGTTGTACTCTGCTTGTTTAGCCTCCTTTCTCCTAGGGCCCCTCCCCCACTCCAGGCAGAAAGGCTGCCGACATGGGGAGGCTGCGTGTGACACGGGGCCGAGGGGTGTTAAGGCACAAGGTGAGCAGCCGGGAGCCAAGCAGTTCTGCACCCCGAAGCCGGAGAGAGGAGGAGGAAGGAGAGGAAGTAACAGAAAGGAGATCACTTCCCCCTCCAAGGCACACCCGTCCATCTGTCCGTCCATCCATCCATCTGTCCATCTATCAGTCCATCTACCCAGTCATCCATCCATCCATCCATCTCTTCATCCATCCACCATCCATCCATCCAGTCATCTTCCCATCCACCCATCCATCCATCCACCCACCCACTCATCCACCCATCCACCCACCCATCCATCCACCCACCCACCCATCCATCTGTCCACCCACCCACCCGTCCATCCATCCACCCACCCATCCATCTACCCACCCACCCATCCATCTGTCCACCCACCCACTCATGGATCCATCCAGTCATATACCATTCATCAATCCACCCATCGAGTCACCCATCTGTCCACCTGCCCAACCATCTAATAAATATACTCTGAGCACACAGGTGTTAGAACAACTCCAGGGAATTTAAAATCTCTAGTCGAAAGTCGGGCAGGATTTCAATGGTCACCCTGGAGTCTCCATCGGAAAGGAGAAAAGAACGTACACACTAGCATCGGCACACACGCAGGTGCTCCCACAGATAAGACTGCTCCCTTTGGTTCACAGAATAATGAAGAGAACCAAGACCATATTTTTCCACGGTGCTTCATGGTTTCTGAGCACCAGCACAGACGTTATTTATGACTTCTCCCAACAGTCGTGGGAGGCAAGTTTGTCTAAACGTAATTATTTCCGGCTCTCGGTTGGGAAACCCAGGTAAGTCTCCCGAGATCACACAGCAAATGAGCATCTGTGGACGCAAACCAAGCTGGCCCACCCTGTGGTACAGCCCACACATGCTCACGTTCCACGGCACGCCCGCTCGCACACACCTATACCAGCCTGTGTCTCTCCTTGAACCCCAGAGATTCTCCACGTGCCGTGTGCACAGTTGGGGAAGAGTGCTGACAACATGACAAGGGTAGGAGAGGAGGCTGTGGGGGGTGGGGTGCAGGCAGAAGGGGGCTAGCTGGCAATGCAGATGGCCCATGGCCACCAGAGGCAGGTGGAAGGAGACTTCATGACCTGACTTCCGACCTCACATGTCCTGGGGTCCATGCCTCAGTGTCTATGACTCACTCTACCAAGTCCCACCCCTGTGCTAGCAGGCTCTCGGGCCAGCCTCTCAGTGCCCCCTCCCCAACACACACACACACACACACACACACACACTTCCTCTGCCCTGTGTCCCCCAGGGACTGCACAGGTGGATACGTTACCCTGCCAGGGCTGTCACCACACTGGCTTTCACTGAGAGGCGGCGGAGTCGGAGGAACCACAGAAATTTTGCTACTGAGAGAAAATACAGAAGTAGACACTCGTTATGAACGAGGTAGGTACCTGGTGTTACAAATCCAAGGTGTGTCACTGCTCCGTAACTCGGGTTTAAGCGTTTCCTTAACTGTCTCATGGTTTAGAAAAAGATCCAGTAGTCCTGCTTGCACTTGTTGCCCGAGGGCCACTGTTCCTGGCACGTGAACATGGCAATGAGGGGGTCACGCTGCCTGTGGTCTGGGCGTCCACACCATCGAGAGCCTGAAGCAGCCGGGAAGCCAGGGACCTGGCTTGCCCACCGGGCTGCTCCAGAACCTGACTCCCCACGCGGAGCCCCACGTGGACTCCTGCGTTCTCTGAGCTCAGACCACAGGGACAGAAGAGCCAGAGCCGCCGTGAAGACAGAAACCCACCACGAGAAGAACTGCAAGCTTGTGCTCAAAGCCTGGAAACCACCAGGAGGAAAAACGAGAGAGTTCCAGACCTGAGAAACCGCACAGTGGCAGTGGGGAACTTGTAGTGGTGCCGGTCATTCAATTCTACCAAGGTTCAGTCCACAAACACCCCTCAGGTACCCGGCACTGCATGTGGTGTTGCAGACAATGAAATGTCATGGAATTACAGTCAAAAAAATTTCATTTGGGGAAACATGCAACAGTGCAAGAGAGTTTAAGGAACATAACAGAAGGTTTAGTGAAAAAAGACCACACTAGCTAGAAGCCTTCTTAGAAGAAGCCTCTGTCTGAACCTTTTCCAGGCTCTTTATCATTAAACCAAAAAAAAAAAAAAAAAAAAAGATGCATTCCAGAGTAGTGACATCTGAAAGTCAAGAGATCCCTTCAGAGCTTGGGGCTCCTGTGGCCGCCCGGGGTGAGGACACCCTGTCCCAGCACTCACCTGGGATGCTGATAAGATTGCAGGAGCCTGGCCCCAGCTGTCTGGTGTTTGCCTGCAGGACACATCAATAAAGGTCATTCATTAGCAGGACTATAAGGTAGGTGAGGCAAACACAGGAAGTAATAAGTTACATTTGTTTCTTATATCACTTGTAATTAACAGAGAGATCGCTGGGAGCTGATAGAAACACTGGGACATTAGACTCCGGGTGATGCTTGTACGATTCTACAAATTTACTAAAAATCACTGAATCTGATACGTAAGAAGGGAGGATTTCACGTTTTAGGAACTACATTTCCACACACAGAGAGTGTGCTTTTACTAAAAGTGGATGTTGCATGAGATTTGCTAAATCGGGAGAATTTGAAAAACGGCTCAAGCCTCCGGCTCCCAGTTGGAAACGTTCATAACTGCATGAAATGTCCCCACAAACACTCCTCGTGACGGAGATTAAATTAATCTTGAAAAATGTAATCTGCTTATTTCTAGTTACAGTGGCTGATAATTCCCCAAACAAGGCTGCGTGTGTGTCCTTTGTGTGTCAAGGCAAAACGGCTTTCACACCAGGCCTAGACGCCAGCAGTCCCACTGCGTGTCCTTCCAGGGGCGGCTGGGAAGGGGCCCCAGGGCTGCGCCCTCAGGGAGCCTCCTCTGCCCCACACGGCTGCGGCTGCAGCACACCTGCCATGCACCTGGCTGGCACAGGGCACTTCCCAAAGTTCCTGGGAAAATGGAATTAAAACCTAAGTTTATTCTGGTGCAAAAAAATCTAAATCCATGCTTATGCTCTTCCAGGAACTTTTTGGAGACCACCACATATGCACAGATTTCCAAATTTTTTGCACCAAATTACTAGCTTATCTTTTAATTCCACTGTCCATGAACTTGTCGAAATACCCTTGCTGAGACAGACTTAGCTATTAGTGTTTCCCAAACACACACCGACAACTGGGGTATTTCTAAACATCCCCACTGTAAGCGGGGATGGGCTCCCAGGTCAGGGGTCAGCCCCAGAGGTCAAGGGTCGTGGCCTCAGGGTGGGCGGGACCCTCCAGGTCCCATCTCACGGTTGGGCCTCCCTGCCCGCTGGTGCTTCCCGGGGCCCACCACGGGGGTCCCCACATTCTCACCCGAGCCCGAACCGCCCACAATGGCGGGCACGCGCCCGTGACGCGGGAGCCCGCCTCGCCACGAGTGGATGACGGGGGTGAGAAAACAAATACGGACCCCGAGTGTCCAGCCTGGCTTGGGGCGATGCCGGGCCCCGGGAGGCTGGGGCGAGCCCAGGCCTGGCATGGCCCCCAAAGCGACGCTGTCTCCGCCACCCCAACCCGCGCGTGCCGCCGAAGCCCAGGCCCCACGCGACCCCGGGGCCCTGTCCGGGTCAGTCCCCCCACACCTGGACCCCGACCGTCTCAGCCCCGAAGATGGCGACTCCGGCAGGTGGACCTCACAGCGTCCAGGAGCCTCCACCCTCGCCCGGGGCCCAGGACGGCTCTCTGGCTCCCCCTGCCGGCCTCCGGAGGTGGGCGCAGGGCCAGGGGGACCTCCAGAGCAGCGTGGGTGGAAATGGCTCACCATAAAAAGTGAGACCGCGACCATCTAGAGGGCTGGGCGCTGGCCCGGGTGGGAGCGGCCCCAAGGTGGGGGGCCAGCACCCTCCTCTGCCCCGCCCTGCCTCCCCACACCCAGCCCAGCCCAGCGCAGACAGGCACCTGCCGTTCCTGCTCTGAGCCTGCTGCCTCTGTGCTGTTAGGGACTCAGCTCTGTGCCCTAGGAAGAGCTGTTAGCTCCGAGCTCCGGTCAGTCCTAGAGGCACATTTCTTGCAGGTCAAGTCAAGATGAGGTCATTAGGATAAGCCCTGAAAGTCCTGTTCCGAGGACCAGTGTCCTCCTAAAATGAGGAGAGCTGGACCCAGAGAGGCACACAGAGGGAGGGTGGCCCTGTGCAGATGGAGGAGCACCCGGAACACCAGGAGCTGGGAGAGGCCAGGAGGGGTCCTTCCCAGGGCCAGGAGAGGAGGGGAAGGCTTGCTTTGGACCTCCCTCTCCAGCACCGTGAGGCAGGCGCTGGCTGAAGCTGCCTACCCTACGCGACTTGGTCCACGGCGCTTTCTACGGGCTTAAGGACAGGGATTTATTTCTGTGCACGCTGGCATGGAAGCGCCTGGGGCTGCTGCATCAGCTGTGCACGGGGCACTTCACAAAGTCCACGGCGGGCAGCGTAGCGAGGAAAGCTGCCGTCTGCAACGCTGGCATTCCACACAGGTGCCAGTTCGTGTCCCGCTGCTCCACCCCGATACAGCTCCTACTGATGCACCTGGGAAAGCAACAGCAGATGGCACAAGTCCTCGGGCCCCTGCCACCCGTGGGAGACCCAGAAGCATTTCCTGGCTCCTGGCTTCTGGCTGGTCCAGCCCTGGCCACTGTGGTCATCTGGAGAGTGAACCAGCAAATGGAAAATATCTCTCTCTCTCTCTCTCTCTCTGTGTCTTTCTCTCCCTGCAATTCTGCCTTTCAAATAATAAATCTTGTGTCCAAATGTTTTAAAATTTGTGCATAGGATTTCATAATATACATTTCCATGAACTTTTTGAACATTCCACATGCATGGATTTCAAAATTTTTGATGCCAAAATAAACCTCTCTTATATTATTATTTACGTGAGAGACAGGGCAAGGTCCCGTCCGCTGGTTCACTCCCCAAATGCTTGCGATAACCAGGTGTGGGCCCGACCAGATCCAGGAGCTGGGCTCTTCATCCGAGTCTCCCTCATGGGTCGGGACCCCAGTCACCTGCACATCACTGCTGCCTCCCAGGGACTGCAATAGTGGAGCTGGAGTCAGGAGCCAGAGCCTGGAATGAAATCCAGACACTGCGTAGGAGACAGGACATCCGAACTGCTGGACTAGACGTCCACTCCTGTCTTCTAGTCCACTTCTGCCATGAAGTCCCCACCACATGTCCATCTCCTCCTTGGGATCATGAACTATTTTTTTTTTTAGTTTTTTTTTTTTTTTTATTTGAAATAGAGTTACAATGAGAGGGAGACAGATTTGTCATCTGTTCACTCCCCAAATGACAGCAATGGCCAGGGCTGCTCCAGGCTGAAGTCAGGTACCTGGAACTCCATTCGAGTATCCCAAGGCGCTGGACTGGCAGTGGAGCAGCCAGGACTCAAGTGGGTGCCCGTCAGGGATGCCGGCATCCTAGGTAGCAGCTTCACCTGCTGCACCACTCTGCGGGCCCCTGGAGGGTCACCTTTTTGAGGTCACGGGCCTTGTCTTCCCCAGGACAGAACCCAGAAGCAAGCTTGCCCTGAAGGACACGATGCTATAAACACAGCATCAATAGAGCCAAATCCAGCCATGCCCTGTTCCTGCTGCCAGGCCACCGGCAAAGACTGACAGGCACCGCCCAGGCACGCTAAAGCCACCCCACCCCTTACAGTCCCTGGAGACTGACAGAGTGCACCAGCAAGTTGCCCCTCACCTGCCCAGGCAGGTGAGAGTGACCCCACCCCCGCACCAGACTGACAGGTGCACAGAGAGGCGCTCAGCCTCTGCTGCCACGTGAGCTGTGTCCACGTGAGCCACGTGGCCTGTGGCTTGCTGGAGTAGCCCCACCCTTGCTCAGCTCATGGAGACGTCTGGCGCCATTGTACCTCCGATGTGTGCACACTGCACCACACCTGCCCAGGCCCCCTGAAGTAGCCACACGGCGGCATCCCACCCCCACTTCTTATGCACCATACCCTTTTGGATCACTCAAGTATCCTCACCCTCACGTGGCCCGTGGTGACAGGCTCTCTGATCTACTGCTCTCTGCACCACACCCAAAGACTATAGGGAGAACACACCGTGGCATCCCACTGGAAGAAAGCCAAAGTAGCCACCAAACACACTCTGACACATCACCAGGAAAAACTAACTCTGCCTGTCAAAAAATAAATAAATAAATAGGCCAGCGCCGCGGCTCACTAGGCTAATCCTCCACCTTGTGGCGCCGGCACACCAGGTTCTAGTCCCAGTCAGGGCGCCAGATTCTGTCCTGGTTGCTCCTCTTCCAGTCCAGCTCTCTGCTGTGGCCCAGGAGTGCAGTGGAGGATGGCCCAAGTGCTTGGGCCCTGCACCCCATGGGAGACCAGGAGAAGCACCTGGCTCCTGCCATCGGATCAGCGCAGTGCGCCGGCCGCAGCGTGCCAGCCGGGGCGGCCATTGGAGGGTGAACCAACGGCAAAGGAAGACCTTTCTCTCTGTCTCTCTCTCTCTCACTGTACACTCTGCCTGTCAAAAAAATAAAAAATAAATAAAAATTAAAAAACATAAAAATATCTGAACTCAAAATGTCCCAGTTTGGAGGGAAAAAAAGAGTGAAGACAGACTGAACCCTTGGGATATCATTAATGAGCACATATTCAAACTCCGGGCTTTCTGAAAGCGAAGGAAAAGGCAAAGTCATAGAAACCTTATTGAAATGTCCCAATCCTGGGAAAGATGTGGACATCCAGGTGTAGGAGGTCTGTCGGACCCCAAGACCCTGAAAATCTGCTTAGCACAGCATGTGAGGGGACTTCAAAGAGTTCACGGGAAAATGGAATTAAAAGGCAAACGTTCATGGAAGTTCTGAAGTATTCTCGTATTGCAGTCAAACTGACAAAGGGCTAAGAGGGAGAGTTCTGAAAACCGCAAGAAAAATGTGCCACATGTGCCAGACAGACTTAGGGAACTCTCATTAGAATAACTGATTTTTTTTTTTTTTTTTGACAGGCTGAGTGGACAGTGAGAGAGAGAGAGACAGAGAGAAAGGTCTTCCTTTTGTCGTTGGTTCACCCTCCAATGGCCGCCATGGCTGGTGCGCTGCGGCCGGCGCACCGCGCTGATCTGAAGGCAGGAGCCAGGTGCTTCTCCTGGTCTCCCATGGGGTGCAGGGCCCAAGCACCTGGGCCATCCTCCACTGCACTCCCGGGCCATAGCAGAGAGCTGGCCTGGAAGAGGGGCAACCAGGACAGAATCCGGCGCCCCGACCGGGACTAGAACCCGGTGTGCCGG